GTCGAACACTTGGCACATAACATGGCCATCTCAAACTTCTAGGGAAATCGATTTCAAATAAGGACTAAGTTGTAAGAATCAATTTTTAATTTCAATAATGTTTAAATTATGGTTGAACTTGGCAATTATTAATTTTAGTTTGTAATCAAACTAAACAGCAAGAAAAAAAAAAAAAAAAGAAGAAGCAAATTTCTTCCTGGATGTTAATGACCGTTATACTTGTAATACCACACAAAACTAAAACTATATTAAGTTATGAAACGAATTGTTCACAACTCAGAAGTGCACATTCAGCTTCCATCCATTACAATCTTGATATCAAACAAAATAAGAATTGTAAAAACTTATCCTTAATATTTGTGGCCACATACTCTACTTTCCACAATCAACCAACATCCCCAATACATCCACTACTTTATATACACACTACGTATCGCTAGACAAAGGCAAATACCAAAGACAAACGAAAAAAACCTGAGATGAATTTGACTCTTCCGATGAAAAAACAAAATTTTCTGCTAATCATCTCATTATTGATATTATTATCATTACTTCATCAAGATTATCACATTGACGCTCAGAATTCAGACAAAGTAGTGAATCTTCCTCAACAACCATTGAATCCTAAGATCTCTCACTTCTCAGGATATATTAACGTGAATCAAGAAAATACACGATCACTCTTCTTTTGGTTCTTCGAAGCCTTGTCTGAATCTCCTTCAACAAGACCTCTAGTTCTCTGGCTCAACGGAGGTGGATTACTTAATTATATATTGTTCTCTCTTTTTTATACACATTTATATCAACGATCCTGCCGCAGGTCCTGGATGTTCATCTATTGGATATGGAGCAGCATCTGAATTAGGACCCTTTCGTGTTGTTGAAAATGGGACAAGCCTTAGTTTCAATCAATATTCTTGGGTCCAAGGTTTTTTTTTTTACTTCGTTTATCTTGTTCTACTCACAAAATTTTAGCCGGATATAATAAAATTCGTGCGGCTTAACAACAAATTAATATTTAAGCTAATTTTGTATTAAATTCATGAAATTTTTTGTTAACAAATTTGCAGAAGCGAATATATTGTTTTTAGAATCACCAGTTGGAGTAGGGTTTTCGTACACGAACTCATCTTCTGATTTGGACAACCTCAACGACGCTTTCGTTGGTAAGTAAAAATCCACAAGGTGGTAAACACATCAAAATTTTGATCAACTTAGGTTATACTCTATCTAAACTTAATTGTAAAAAAATTAATTTGAGATGTTTAATGTAACAGCGGAAGATGCATACAACTTCATGGTTGCTTGGTTTGCAAGGTATCCCCAATATAAGTCTCGTGATTTCTTCATAGCTGGTGAAAGCTATGCCGGTGAGCTTAATTAATTACTCTGTATTTTTTTCATTCTGATATTGTTGTAATATCTGGATTTTGATTATCAAATTACTAAGAAAAAAAAGATATTGTAATGAACAAGTACAAAAACTGATGCATGGAAATAAAATGGATCTTTTATGCTTATATAAGATTTAGGAAATTGTAAAATACGATATGGTATATACCCATATATGGGTAGTGGGTTCACACTTTTTTTGTATTTGATAAAGGTTGGTTGGGTTCACACTTAACACATTACAATTACAGGTCACTACGCACCTCAGCTAGCCGAGCTTATATACGATCGGAACAAAGTTAAGCCAAAGGACTCCTTCATTAATCTCAAAGGCTTCATCGTACGTATTATACTATTATTAGTCATCGTATATAATAAACATTTGTTGATTGCTACGTAATCATATATTTGCGAGTGGACTGTTAACTACGTGAACAATGAAAGTGTAAATGTAATCCAATTAATGCGACTGATTTCTTCTTCCTTGAAAGCAAACTTCTAATCAACACAATTTAACGTTAGATCCGATTGTTGATCCGTTGTATAACGAGAGCATGAAAAAAAAATGAAGAAGAGAAAATAACAACACAATTTCAATGTTTTTTTTCTCTATTTGAAAAGATTTTTTAAAATTCAATTATGATTTTTTTTTCACTATAATAAAATGTGTCAATGTAGGTGGGAAATCCGTTGACGGATGATGAATACGATAACAAAGGGATTCTAGAATACGCATGGAGCCATGCAGTGATCTCTGATGATCTCTACGACTCCGCAAAACGTAACTGCGACTTCAAGTCTTCGAATTGGTCAGAGCCCTGCAACGTTGCCATGAACACAGTGTTCACAAAATACAAAGAGATTGATATTTATAACATATATGCTCCCAAGTGCATAGCTAATAGCTCATCAGGAGCTTCCTACTTAGATTCCGGAGTCAATCATAAGTCTCCGGCGGTCAAAGACTGGTTCAAGAGAGTGAGATGGTTTGAAGGATACGATCCTTGTTACTCTAATTACGCTGAAGAATATTTCAATAGGGTCGATGTTCGATCGTCTCTTCATGCCACTACACGAAATGTAGCAAGATGGAAAGTTTGCAAGTAAGTTTTATGTAGAATTGATATGAATTTTCCTACTTGTGTAAACTAAAAAAGGTTGGAATGTTAAATTTTATTAATATGTATTTTTCTTTTATTGTGGTTAACAGTGATTCGATATTGCAAACGTACCATTTTACAGTCTCCTCAATGTTGCCTACATATAGTAAGCTCATCAAAGCTGGCCTCAAGATATGGGTTTATAGGTACTCTACACTTCTATCTCTATAATTGGTGTTCTTTTTCTTTCAGTTATATAGAATGTACCAAAGAAGCATACCTCCAAAAAAAATATCAGTTTCGTGATTGATGGTCAATGAACTTTTAACAGTTGATTTATTCTTTTTATAAATGAAAACAGATCATTTGAGAAAATCATCTGTTTTGGGAGTTCACAGCAGAACAACTGTGAAAAGTTCATTGACCATCAATTGACCATCAATCACTAATTTAAACAAAAATATTTTAATATTCTCTACCAAAAAAAATTTGGTAGTTTAAATAATGAATATTTTAAAATCTTACATAATAATTAAAAATAATTACAACACTAAATATATAAATTTTAATTTAAACAAAAAAACGAAATCATAAGCGAACTGAAACTTGTATATGTTAAACCAAACAAAACCAAACGGAATTACAAATGATTTTATATAAGTTTCAGTTTTCAAAATACCAAAACACCACAAAAACAAGTAAATCAGATTGTCCACACCTAATTATTTACATTAGAACAGAGTGATTATATGGGAATAGGTGAAATTGATAATTATAAATTTTTGGAAGAACAAATTTTTAAATGCAAAAAAAAAAAAAAGATAGGCTTGAGCTGTGAATGAGCTGTCACAGCAGAACAACTGTGAAAATATTTTGTGATACTATTTTGTGTGGTTCAAAAAATTTGTCAATGAGTTTTGATATTTTTTGAAAATAAAATAAAAGTGGTATTTAATAAGTATCACATAAAATATGTATGTTTATGTGAAATATTTCGTTCATTCAAGAATCTCGTGCCTTTATTATGTTTCAGCAAGAATTTGTTATAAGTGACTATTTTCTATTAGTCTAGCAAATCGAACCTAATCACACAAAACTGTTTTCTCAAATGATCTGTTTTCTCAAATGATTTATTGTGACATTATTTTTGTATTTTGACAGGTATGATTTCATAGTTTCCAATTAATTGTATTTTGACAATTATTTTTACATTATTTTTGTATTTTGACAGGTATGATTTCATAGTTTCCAATTAATTGGACGGTTTAGAAATCCGGAAATTAAACCATGCTAAATATTTTATATATATAATTACTTGGTAGTAATGACAATATCTGATTTTTCCTTTTTCTTTGGAAAGCTTGAAATAATTGGATGAATTATTAAATACTTATTATTGTCTAATAGTGGAGATGCCGACGGGAGAGTCCCAGTTATCGGAAGTCGGTATTGTGTTGAAGCTCTTGGGCTTTCCGTCAAATCCGAATGGCGTTCTTGGTTCCACAATCATCAGGTTAGGGTTTATTATAAAATTAGAAATGTGATATTTTAGCCAAATAAGTTTGTATTATTACGGTTAAATTTTACTATGTGGTCGAAATGTATAATGAGAAGGTGGGAGGGAGGATAACGGAGTACGAAGGAGGGTTAACATTCGTAACGGTGAGAGGAGCTGGACACTTGGTTCCTCTCAATAAACCTGAAGAAGCTCTCGCGCTTTTCCGGTCCTTCCTTAACGACCAAGAACTTCAGTCACGGCCCTAGATATCACTATCTTGATCTCTCTCTTTTTTACCGAGTATAAAAAATAAATGCATAAATAATAAATCCAATTACATGTTAGTTGTTACCTTATACGCAACCGTGTTACAAATTTACGATAATAATGATTTACGCAGTTAGCCTCGTTGTTTTCGCGTTGTGTGAGTGCCTTCATCAATAGAGAAGAAAGTGGTTGTGTGTTGTAATATAGAAGCAGGGAGAACAACAACCACATGTTGTACATAGTTGGAAAGCATGGATACAGAAAATTTGATTATGATATATTGATATGGACTAATCAAGTCATTGTGTATTTACCCTCTCTCTTGCATCTTATTTCTTCCTTTCTTAAATAAACCAAGTGTCAAGTGACCAAACGAAGAAGACTAAATGAAAGCTTAAGTCATATATACAAAGTTCATATCAAATTTTTACTAGTCCAAGACCTCGCAATATTTTTAAAACACTTAATTTCATATACAACATTCAAGATATCGTTTGTCTTCTTTGCTCGCAGTTCTCTTATATTGATTATTGAATATATATATATATATATGATTTTAATATCATTGGTCTTGCTTTATGGAAACTATAAAGCAGAAACAACAGAGAAAAAGGAAAGACATTTTAAAAAGGAAAAACATTGAAATTCTAATATTTGTCTATATATATAAGACATGCGAGGAGGGCAACCATTAGAGTTTTAGACCCTAATTTCTATTTGCAGCTCCTCTCACCACAAGATAGATGACGATGATGTCCGATCCTTCAGAGGATTTGGTAGAAGAGATACTCTCTAAGGATCCGGCTAGATCTCTGAAACGATTACGATCTACTTGCAAACAGTGGAACACATTATTCAATGATCATAGATTCACCAAGAAGCACTATGATAAAGCACCAAAGGAGTTTCTAGTTCTCATGTTGAAGACTTATAAGGTTTATTTAGTGAGTGTCAAACTCAGCGGAATTCACAACAACATTGATCCGGTTATGGAGGTTAAGGGTGAACTTGGCCTACTTGGCTATGACAACTACACAACCTTTCACTGCAACGGATTATTGTTGTGCACCACCCGAGCGAAACCCATGGAATATGGCGCAAGACTCGTGGTTTATAACCCGTGTATGGGGCAAACCAAGTGGATCGAACTCAGAACTGCTTACAAAGCATCAGATAAGTTTGCTCTCGGTTACAAGAAGAATTGTAATAGCTACAAGATTTTAAGATTTTCGGGTTCTTGTCACAAGCCTGTTTTTGGTGAGTTTGAGATCTATGAGTTTAACTCTGATTCATGGAGGGTTCTTGATGACGCCATTCATGACTGGCACTTGGCAGCTCAAGGTCGTGGCGTGTCTTACAAGGGAAATACTTATTGGGTTGCTTCAGATACCCAAGACTTGGTAGACGACTTTTTACTAGAGTTTGATTTCACAAAAGAGAGATTTCGACGTTTGCGTCTGCCGTTTAAGGATGATTGTCAATACAATACTGTGGTGCCATCTACTGTAAGAGAAGAGAAACTTGCGGTGTTGTTTCAGAGTGAATATGAAGAAAAGACGGAGATATGGTTAACCAGTAAGATTGATGAAAACAATGACGAGGTCTCGTGGAGAAAGTTCTTTACAGTGAAATGTAATTATATGTTTTCATTTTCGATGAGTTTCATGGTGGATGAGGAGAACAAACTGGCAGTGTGTTGTGACACATACATGGGAGAAGATGATAAATAAAGCCAATGTTTACATTATTGGAGAGGATATGTTGAGAAAAGTTGAACTTTTTGAGGAACCTGCATACCTACCAATTAGTTATGATGGAGAAGCTTTTCTCTTTAGTTATGTTCCAAGTTTGGTTCAAATCTTGTAAGAGAATGTGATTGATTAGTCTTTATGTTCTACCGACAGTTTTTTAATCCTTTTTATCGTCATATTCAATTCCAATTATCATGTCAAGTATGAAACCGATCCTATGAATACAGAAAAAGGGCTTCTTTATAAAATGAAAATGTACTGGGCGATTTAGGAAATTATAAAGAACAATAGGGGTCAAAAGTGATATTTTAATAAAAGTTTTCTTATCCAAAACCCAAAATGACGACTTTGCTCTTCCGCTAAAACCCTTCCCTTCTTCTTCCTTCACTTCACTCGTGCTTTCTCCAATGGAGTCACTCCTGCACGCGTCTTCGTCTCTGGTGTCTCTCAGACCCAGAATCGACGGTCGAGATTCGTTCATCAACCCGTCGCGCGTTTGTCTCAATCCTAGTCTCGGCCGCAGAGGATCTAAACCTCTTCCATTGGTAGCGGCGGCGAAGAAGAAGAAAAGCAAGAAAGATGACAATCATAGCTTTTCCGCTAGACCTGACGAAGCCACTGGTCCTTTCCCTGAATCCATTCTTCTCAAAGAGGTATAGCTGATTTCGATTTCGTCGATTCTTCCAATTTGTAGAAATCTGAGAATTGATGGAATTTGATGTCTTTGAGGACAAATATAGTAATGATTATTGTTATCCTTCATTTCTGGTTCAAAATTGGCGCTGAAGTTGTGTACTTGGTTGTTTTTGTGGATTGGATTTGCAGAAGAAGATTGATGAAGAAGGTGATTTGCTTCCCGAGTTTGCTGATGCTGAAGAAAGTGAGTGATTATTATTTGTTTGTTAGTTTTAGTTGTCAAAATGATTTAGGTCGTTTATATTGTTTGTGTTCTTCTCAATTGCACAGAGGAGCTATATGAGTTTCTGGATCTTCAGCTTCAGAGTGACTTGAATGAAGAAAGGAGTAAGTTCATCTTCTTTTAACCGTTTTGATTACGTTTTATCGAGAAGCTAGATCCTTGCTAAATTATGATTTGAAAAATGATGATTGTAAAATCTTAACTTTCTTATCATGAAGGAAGGATGATAATGTAAGATATAGGGCATGTCAATTTTAACTTATGAGAGGAATTTAGATATATGCAAAATGTGTTCTTTAGACGGTGGGGGATTACCGTAGAATATGATCCAACCTTGATACTTTACTTAGCCACATAGTGAGAAAATCATGGATTATGTAATCGATTTGATATCATATCACTCTATTTAATGATGTATAAACTATGTGTGTGCAGTGAGGCACTATGAGGTGGTTTACTTGATTCATGAAAAACATGCTGAGGAGGTTGAAAGCATTAACCAGAAAGTACAAGGTGAAGCGTTTTCCCTTTTTGTTCTCTGTTGTTGTGCTCACTAGATTTCATGCAAGACCGACGATTAGAAACCCAAATCCAACCCTATACCGGTTTATTTAGTTCATGTAATTAAGTTTGTTGATATTCAGATTTCCTGAAGGAGAAGAAGGGGAAAGTTTGGAGGTTTAGTGACTGGGGAATGCGTAGACTGGCATACAAAATACAGAAGGCGGAGAATGCACACTATATACTGATGAACTTTGAGATAGAGGCAAAATACTTGAACGAATTCAAGGGATTGTTAGATAGTGATGAGAGGGTGATTAGGCATCTCGTGATGAAACGTGATGAGGCTATTACCGAAGACTGTCCTCCACCTCCTGAGTTTCACTCTGTTCGGGCAGGTGATGAATATTATGATGATGATGAAGAGGAAGAGGAAGAGTTTGATGTAGATGAGGGTGAGGGTGAAGATGAAGAAGATGGTGATAATATAGAGTATGAAGTAGATGATGATGGTAATGTTGTTATGGTGTTGTATGGAGATGAAGGAGCAGCAGAAGAAGAAGATGGGGCTAGTGAACCAGAAGAAGGACATGACAAGTCAACTAACGGCAGAAGAGAAACCCGGAGAACAGTTAACGTAGGAGGTTAGAGCTGTCTGTACTTATTGTTTTTTGGGTCATGCTTTGGTTAATAGGGTCACATATGAAGTTGTTTGTTGTACTCATAATAGCATCCTAAGAAAGTAAGAAGTATAAAATCAAGAATATGAAAAACTAAATTCTTCCTTTGAAAAGAAAAGCGTTGGATACTTAAACTTGTTTGAAGCTGTCTCAAGGAACATAAAGAAACAACAATCCATTAAGCTCTAAGAAACACTACCATTAGATTAAAAACTACATCAACCCAACGAATGATTCAAACACTGTTTTCGAATCTAGTTCCGACTTGTTTCTTGGATTGAGGTCAGTTCGAAGTTAGAAGAACTACCGTTTAGAAGGCCTAACGTCATCACCAGTGACATCTCCTTGCTCATTGTGGTCTTTAGCAACCCTCTTCCTCTTGGACAGAGGCTCAGATTTGCCAGCACTCAAGCTGATGTCCTCATCAACGTCGTCTTCTTCAATATCTTCATCACCGTCTTCTTCATCCACCCCGTTCTCCTCAGGGTCAAAATCACTTGCATCATCCTCATCTTCAACCTCACCAACCGGCCTCACTAGGTACTCAGTCCCAAGATCCTCCTCCTGCACGTTTTTGAATGTAAAATGAGCAAACCAAACATGTTCTATGATAAGCACCCAATTAGTCATTGACTTTAAAAGAGAAAATGAGGTCAAAGCTTGTATCCACTTACTCAGGGAGGGAATAAAAGAAAGACTAAAACCCCTAATTCGGGTAAAAAGACAGAAGGATAAACCCTACTCTGGCCTTCAACATGAAAATTTTCCAGAAAAAATCACCGCTTTTCAGAATCTAATCTTTCTTTGGTGAAAATTGAGGCTAATACAAAGATTAAGAGTGGAATTGGAGCTAAAGAGATGCATAAAACCCTAGATCTATAATCTTCTCTTAAGGATTATAGCTCAAATTCACTTAAAAATAATAAACAAATTTAAAGAGATTCATACCTCTTCTTCATCGTCCTCGTCGTCATCATCATCATCATCATCGTCATCGTCATCATCATCAGCGTCATCGTCTTCCTCTTCTACGTTAGCCTCTCCTTCACCGTCGCCGCCGGTAATTTCTTCACCTCCGTCTTTGGTTTCCTTCACTTCACCGTCGTCGTCGCTAAGAACCTGAACCAAAGGTTCCTCCTTGAATGCCTTATCATCTTCAACATGCGTCATCTTCTTCAAACAAAAAGATTTTCAGAGATTTTCGTGTAGTTTAGGCAGCAGCTGAAGCTTCGAACCAGCTTTAGAACGGTAAAACCCTCGTAATCCAATCTCAGCCGTTCAATCTCAACTATACTAGGATTGATGAGATGGCATCACATCCAACGGTTCATATTAGAGAATAACGTGGTTTTGATGAAATTTTTTAATATAAATGAAAAAGGTATTAGTTCACGGAAACACGTTTGGGCCTTAAACTTAGTTGTCTGGGCTACAAGTGAGGCCTAATCACCGTGTCTTTCTATTTTAAATACTAAAAACAATTATATTTCATCCAAAATTAAAACTAAATGAAGTTTTTTTTTTTTTTTACATCTGAACTGCATGAAGTTATATGAATAAAACAACATTTTCAATATGTTACATACAACACAAATTAAACTGTTTTAAATATTAACTAATGACTAATTCAAATTTTAATTCAGACGTTTTATTTTTACATTATATTACGTATTTTCCTTTTTAAACTACAAACAATGATTAAATATATGTAATAACACTATATGTCAACTAGTATAGCGTGAATCCGCTTCTAGTTATTGATTTAAATTCACCAACCAATAATATTTTTTTTTAATGATGATTTTTATTTTCTATCCTAAATTATAACTTTGAATAAATTTCTCCATCTTCATCTTCATCTAATCAAAATATATTATAATAAAATAATAATATTGAGTTATTGCTAGTGAAAGGTTATAAAAAGAGTTGTGATGAAGTCCATCATTATTATGTTATTTACGTATGATTAAGAATACGTTTTATAATATAGATTTCGAAAGAAAAAAATGCTTATTGCAATAAATAGGTTTTTATTTTATTTTATGGCATTTATTTGTAAAAACAAGATACAAATTAAGTCCAATAACTTAGAGAAAATAAATGCAACGCTAGAATCATAAATTTTGAGAGAGAGTGTGCATATAAGTTTGTATTACTTTTGGCAACAACATTTGAAACCACATGGAATACAAAGAGACCCACACTGTCCACCTTTTGGAAATCCAGCTCTAATACAGTAGTTCATACATTCATCCCGCCCGTAACACCTAGTATTGCAGTTGTCAATTTGAAAACCTTCGATCCCTGCATCTATACAAGTCCATATATATATTAATCATAATCGATACAAACATGTGTAAATTTTATATTACATTTCAATAAAACGAGGAAGCTTTTGAAGGCATGTCTAATATACATATAAACATTCCTACCAAAAAAAAATATACATATAAACATAAACATTGTCATTAAGAATTTTACATATTTAGGTATAGCATTTGAAATGATCACTGCTAATTTTTAAAATAACTAAATCAAATTCTAAATATACCTGAAGCCAAAACTTTGTGGTTAGAGAACGAAGTTGCAACTATTATTACAAGGAAACAAGTCACCAAAGTTTTCGTACAACCCATAGTAATTTTTTCTATGAACTCTTATGAGATATTCAAATATTGTTATTTAGATCTTAATGATTGGCTCTATTTATATAACTTTTGGTTTTCAATATTTTTTATTTTGATTAATTGATGATCCATTTTTGTTTGTTAAAGCTTTTTTTTTGGCAAAAATCATTTACATTTATGAATATGTAAATATTTACATTTATGAATATGTAAATAACTTAGAATTTTAAAAAAGTGTCTGACACTTGTGAATATAGTCAAAGACAATTGGTTGGATATATTATCATTATAATTGGTTGGATATATTATCATTATGATCAATCAATATGTTAAGTTAAATGCAAGATTTAATTTCATAATTCAATATTGGGATATAAATTTTATCTGATTTCAAAATTGATATCGAAAAAGAAAGTAAAATGAAATTTACATATTATTTTAAAAATCTTTTAACTTCATTTTTTTATTAAAAGTAAAATCATTAGATTTTTGGTTCGCGAGAATTGAAAAAACTGAAAAGAAGATGAAAGCCAAAAAATTACACTAAAAACAGAACAAGCAGATCGCATAGAAGAGATCCCGACGCCGGCGATTTCACCACCACCAACGCCGGAAAGCATTGTCGGGAAGGAGGTCTCGATAACTGTGCTTGGGAAAGAAAAAAAGCTCTTTTATTGTAGTATATCTTTTTCCTATAAAATTTTGGTAAGGAATTATGGAGGTTTCCTGATTTAGACCACCGAATTCGTATCGTGGTTTCTATAAATCAAGAGTCAAGACTTTGATAGATCAGAGATAGAAACTAAAAATATATAAAAAATCTTATTCCTTTTGTAAAAATATCTTATTCATTTCTCGTTGAACATTGAATTTTTTTAATTAGTTGATATTTCACAACGTTTTGATGATGCCAGCAGTCATATCGGCGATATCATGGACGGCTTTGTTACGTGCGGTCAACGGAGATTGCCCGGCGAACTGGTCCTCACAATAACCTGGCTTCGCCACAACGTCTTTCATTTCAGACATAGCCTCAGAATATTTCTTCGCCTTTAGATCAGCCACCACCGCTGGTAAAAACCTATCAACCGCCGCACCGTACTCCTCGATGCAAGTTCCGTATGTCTCAAATTCTTCACGGCGTGTGACATTCTTTAGGACAGAGATAAGATATGTTAACGTCACGTTGAATTTCTTTGTCGTAGCATCGAGAGAGATCGACGCAAGCCCTTTCATGGATTTAAAAATAAACAAATTATGTTTTAGCTATATAACTTTGCAATATAATGTATACGAAGGGATTATAGTAGGTAATGACAAAACTTACGTTAATCAAGCCACATAGCAAAATCATTTCATCATTGTTTTAATCAAGTTAATCTTTTAGATTGTTAGCTAGTGGACAGTTTTTAGAGAAAAGAAAAAGGCAAAGAATGATTTATCACCTTGTAAATTTGAGGTTTTGCTTCTAGGATCAAGATTGAGAGTAGAGATGCATAGGGCTTGATAACGGTTTCTTTTGCAGAGTTGTTGAACAAGGTTAGATCCCGGAGGAGACTGAATTGCTTGAGACAAGGCTATTTGGATTTGGATAAACATGACAAAAACAGCGAATAAGTTCATGAAATTATTCATCTTGTTATTTGATATTGGGAGAATTTTGAGAGCTACTGTTGGTGGATCGTTCTAGTTTTAAGGTTATATAGCTTTTAATTTATAAGTCAAGGACCAAACTTCTGAAAAACTATTTAGGGCAAAATTAATTTTCAAAATAAATATAAATATCAGAATGACAGAATCCATTGACCTCTTCTGGTCAAGGATCAATTAGGGAGTAATGAACTGAATGTGTTTGACTAGAAAGACATATGATATCTTTCTTTTTTATCAAAAATAAAAGAAAAGAACATATGATATCTTTCTTTTTCACGATATACTATGATATATACCTTTTTTTTTTCTTGACTATTTCCACAAACTATATCTAATATGTACAACACACAAAACCCAATTTATTCAAATTGGCAACAACTTAATTATTAATGCTTATATATTCAAATAAAAATAATTAAGATATTTTTTTTATTAATACCAAACAGTTAAAACCTATCGATAAAGGACTTTGTGTATGACCCATACCATCATCGCTAATCGATAACTATATTTAATCCAGACTAATTTCAAGGTCTTGCTAAGCACTTTAGAAATACATCAGAAATTGCCCTGGCAAAAATCTTCGAACGCAATTAAAGAAATTCTACATATCTCGTTCACTCGATATTCAAATTGAATGTTAAGCAGAAGTTATAAATAAACGTATCCTATATAACAATAGTACGTAAGAAAGTTTTCCTTTTAGAGTACGGATTAATCAAAGACTCCTGATGATAAAAATAGAAATAAATATCTTATTCTTATTCGTTACTCGATTGTACTTTGAACAAGACTAAAAATTTATTAATTATTGACAAAAAGATATTTGATGATGTCAGCAGTCATATAAGCGATATCATGGACGGCTTTGTTACGTCCGGTCAACGGCGAAATTCCAGCGAATTGCGCCTCACAATGATCAGGTATCGACACAACACTTTTTAATCAGACTTCGCTAGAGAAAACTTCGCAGCTTTAAGATCAGCCAACGCCGCCGGTAAAAACCTACGAGCCCTCGTGCCATACTCATCAATGCAAGTTTTATACTTCTTTAAGTCTTCACGGTCTTTGATGTTCTTAGAGACGAAAATGAGATAATTTAACAACTCGTTGACTTTTTTTGAAGTCGCGTCGATAGAGATCGGCGCAAGCCCTATCATGAAAGAAAAGTTAAGCAAATACATTTTACTATTTTAACATAAGTTTTATTATGAGGGAGTAGTATATAATGAATCAAATTTGAGTTAAACATGCCAAATAGCTAAGTAATTTCGTCATTTTTCGTTTTTCACGAATAATTGTTTAGTGTAATTGTAAAATTGTTGATAGACTATTCTTATGGAAGAAAAAAAAAAAAAGATTTTTTATCTCACCTCGTAGATTTGAATTCTTGCTTCTAGGATCAAGATTGAGAGTAGAGTCGCAGAGGCTGGGATAAATATTACTTTTGCAGAGTACTTGTATGAGCTTATTAGATCCCGTAGTAGACCGAATTGGTTGAGACAATGCTATTTGGATTTGAATAAACACGACAAAAATATAGAATGATTTCATCATTTTTATTTGATATTATTGGGAGTGTATTGAAGATAATTAAGAAAACTTTAATGGATACATATAACATATCATTACAAAGCCATTAACCTGTTTTGGTCAAAGACCATTATAAGGCAATATAACCTTTTCGTTGACGAATAGGCCATTAACATTTGCTCATACTAGCTTTTATTGTCTTTCTTATTGTAGTTGAATGTATTTGACTAGACAAAAATATGACTAGATCTAAGAAAGAACATATGAGTATATGACTATTTTCTCTATATAACTTATCAAATTTGATACAGGTTTATTGTTACACATTTAGCACATACAAAGCCTATATTTGATCTTGTGGTCTTTCTCATAAAACTATTCCCCTCCCCCTTAACTTCAAATTAGGAACAAATTAATGGTTATTCAAATCAGAGTAACTGATCCTTTAGTCAGCGGGATCATCCCCGCATTTAGGGGTAATAACTTCAAACTATGGAGATAATTACAGGCTGACTTGTCAATGAATGCACATTAAATAGGTTAAATGTATAGCATAATTATAAGTGCAATTACAAACACATATAAATAGACATGCCTAGTAATACATATTTTACATCTTAAATTTCCAATTAGTACTAATAAATTCATAATTTTAAGAGAAGAAGATGATTATGGTAAAGATGATGATGATGGCTATGATGGTGGGAGTTGCGATGGGAAATATTGTAGATAAGACATGCAAGCAGACACCTGACTACACTCTCTATCTCTCTCCTCCGCTCCGATCCACGTAGCTCTTCCGCCGACACCGTCGGCCTCGTTCTTATCCTCGTCGACAAAATCAAGGTTTTCACTCTCTTACCATAATCTCAATATGAATAAGACAAATTTTTCCGGGATCACGGGGTTGGTTTGATAAATTTAGGGTCTGACTGGTGAAAACTATAGAAGAAATGAGTAGAATTTTAAAGAAGAAAGGAAGAGAAAAGAAAATGGCACTTCAGAAGAAAACGTTACTTTAGCTATTTTGTAGAGGGATAAAATCTTCTACTTTACTTTCACTTTTCAGTAGAAAAGTAATTTTTTTTTTTTTTTTTTGACTGGTGAAAACACAGATGAATTTAGAAGAATAAAATTTATACATTTTTCTTTTCTTCTAAAAACACCTATCAGTCACACCCTTAAAGTTAAAGGAGATATAATATATATGTCCCAAAAGGTAAACTTTATCAGTTTATAATTAAATGTAAATGTTTTTTTGTTTTCTTGTTGGGAATGTAGGCGCTTGGGGCTGAAACGCTCGGGCAGATCAATGAGGCGTACAAGACGAAACCTATGCTGAAAAAGCCATTAGACGAGTGTAGTTTGAGATACAAAACGATCGTAGACGTTGACGTCCACACTGCCATTATAGCTGTCAAAGGAAACCCTAAGTTCGCTGAAGGGGCTATTGTCGACGCCGGCGTGGAAGCTTCCATTTGCGAAGGAGGGTTTACCAAAGGCCAATCTACGTTGACCAGTTTGACTCAAAGAATGGAAAAGATTTGCGATGTGACCAGAGCCATCGTCCGAATTTTGCTCTAATTAATTTACATCTTATTTAGAATATTCTAAATTAATAATAAAGCTCGTAACCAATATAATCCGGATGAAATCGATGTGAATGAAAGTTGTATAACGTTACCTAAACCGAGACTAGCTTTAAGAACCGGTTGTCAAACACGGGCAAAAATTCGGCACGAAGTTTCTAGAACCGAATCACGGGATATACAAAACATTCACGAGCCAGATATCGACTTACGAGAGAAAACAGCCCCCACAATATTAATTAAATTAAGGTATTTTGAAATTATTTGGTCGACGTTGGGTATAGTGTGGACTCATATAGTCATATATAATGGTAATTGTTTTGTCGTATATGTGACCGACTACTAAAGTACTCATACGCCAAATCTAAACCACACATACCATCGTCTTTCTTGTGCCAACAACCACATATAACCAAAAGGATAAAGTGTAACAAACAAAAACTAAAGACCAAACACAGATCCATGTATTCAAAACAATTAGGTAGTATGATTCAATCAATATATACCTCATACCTACCTATATACATTAATACTCAAATCCAAGTTTATAGAGTCTAAAATACGTAGAGCTGCGCTTATTGTTATAGTATGACATTTCTATCAAACTTTTAACCAAAATAAAGTTTGTTGATCACGAAGCTTCGTTCACGGGTGGAATTATAATTACCACGTAGACCTAATAATCATTAACCTAGTTAGCATCGATATATAACAAAATTCATATGTGACGACACGTAAAAAGCATATTTGTCTTGGTGGTTTACAGAAATAACATAATTGTTAGTAATTTGAAAGCTTTTCATATAACAAACTTAAATAGCAACTACTATATAAGTCTAGAAACAGAGCTACCAGTAGCACTCACAACACAACCTGACACGTCTTTGTTTTATTACATATAAATTTCTTCTCAAATTTTACTATCTCCGACCATGAAGAGATCCTCCACAGTCACATCATTACCGTCTCTCTCCCTCTTTCTCCTCTTGCTACTGCCGTCGGTAGTCCAATCCTCCGACGACCTTATCGACAAAATATGCCAAGCAACGCCGTTCTGCGACCTCTGTGAAGCCTCTCTCCGTCCACTCTCTCCTTCACCTTCTGATCCAAAATCCTTAGCCGTCGCTATGGCCAGCGTTGTTCTCGGAAACATGACCGATACTTTAGGATACATTCAATCGCTGATCAAACATTCTCACGATCCTGCGGTAGAGCGCGCGCTGGCTCAGTGCGCCGAGCTGTACCGGCCGGTGGTCAAGTTTAATATTCCTCAGGCGATGGAGGCAATGCAGGGCGGCAAATTCGGATTTGCGATATATGTACTCGGAGACGCCGAGAAGCAGACTGATTCTTGTCAGAAAGGGATCACGAATACCGGCGCCGACGATGAAAGCTCGGTGGCTGTTACGGCTAGAAACAAGCTAGTTAAGAATCTTTGTGACGTGGCGATTTCTGTGCTTAAGTCTCTTATGAGTCTTTAAGAATCTTTGTTTCTTGAAAATAATAATTATATATACATATATAATATATTTGTAATTATTGACACGAAATTTCTATTCTAAATTTCGGAAGAGTTCCACTTTACTATTGAATCATATATTATTAACTTATCAACTACAAAATGATAAGTATATACTTGTATATCATGATAACTTATTAACGTTAAAAAAACAGAGCATATATTGATGATTCTGGTCCGAGCTTTTTCTGCCTAAATTCAAATTTTGTGAATAATGAAAACTAGTTTTGTATGACTTTATCGTTTTAACGTCTAGCAAAAAATATAGAGTACAATTCACAAATGAATATTATCAACCGTAGACATACAACATGACTAGACAATAATAATATTAGTACAAGCTACTAAACTAACTTATATGATTTGTTGATGTTCATTCTAAAATTTTTTCTATATTAACATAAATTGTAGTTAACTATGTTTTTTCCTTAATACAAGATTTGGTTTAGAATGGTTTTAGTTTAAATATAAAGATTTTGTTGTAACAAACAACCACGTATTTCTATCTTCAGGTAAAATTTCAGTTTGATTTGGATTATGTGATTATATCACATAGGACTTAAATGGTGGTACACTGACTGGTGGTAGCAAACGAAGATGACTACTAGCTAACCATCAAAACCATTTTTTATGTTTACCATTTATAAATTTTAGTATTTTTTTTTTTTCCTCTAAAACAATGCGTATTTTAGTGAAAACAGAAATTGATTTCGGATGATTGTTATCCGACTTCATAAAGAACAATCTAATCCGCTACCATATTAATCCGTTGCCAGTTGCCACTATTCTAACCCATAAATTTGTGTTTATATTTGGGAAAAATGCTAAAAAAATCCTCAACTATTTTTTATTTGGAAGTTTAATACCTAATTTTTTTCGGTTGGAAAAAAATACATATACTAATTATAACGTGCGAATTAATACTCAAAAAAATAATTATTGTTGTTTTCATACTCACGATTTCATAATAAAATTTTAATTCCAATTTTACCCTTATTTTCTTAATTAATTACTAATTTTTTATTTCAAAAAATCTGTTGGTTCTCTTTTAACCGGATTAAACCGAAATTAAAACCGGTTATCACCACCCCCAAATTTTGTTGTCGTCGTCGTGTTAATCCTATCCCTATGAGCTTTCTCAATCCAGCAAATCAACAAACCAATTCTCAATCCCAGCTCTATACACTTTCCAGAGCTTCCCTCTTTCCCAACACTTGTTCACCCATTCCACCGACTCTTACCTTTGCAAATTCTTCTCTAGAAACAAGGAGAAGCTTCTGGGAATATGTGGCCATGGTCCTGCTCCTCGTTAGCTTACATCTCCACCCGTTTCTCTCTGCCTCTTTCTCTACTTCTTCGAGTCCCCACAAACTACACAGGAAATAAACCGAAAGTTCGAAACTTTAAAGAAGCAAAACCCACCTCCTTGGAAACACGACTGTGGCGTCGGTGCCGAGCTCATTTTAGCAAGGACAGAGCAGAGGACGAGACACATAAACATGTAATTTGCGAGTGAAACAGAGATTTGTCTATTCTAATTGTATGATCCTCTAGTTTGCGATTGAATCGGAGATTTGTCTACTCTAATTTTTAGTTTCAATTAGATTTGCAAATTCTCTACAAAATGAAAGTCTGAATTTTATTAGGAACGTGGCCTAACTTAACCCAAAAGCTAGCTCAAGAGTTAAGGATTGCCACATCCTTTATATACTACCCAAAGATCTTAATCCCAAGCAATGTGAGACTTTCTAATAGGTCTCCTCGAGATGTGGGTGGGAAACGGTCCAACGGGAAACAGCCCAAGCCCAACATCTCGGAAATACAATAAGACATGCCACTTATATTGGCCACATAGGTGGGAAACCATTTGTGTGGGAATTTGCTTGTTGGGCTAACCTTGGGCTCTGATACCATATTAGGAATGTGGTCTAACTTAACCCAAAAGCTAGCTCAAGAGTTAAGGATTGCCACATTCTTTATATACTACCCAAAGATCTTAATCCCAAGCAATGTGGGACTTTCTAATAGGCCTCCTCGAGATGTGGGTGGGAAACGGTCCAACGGGAAACAGCCCAAGCCCAACATCTCAGAAATACAACAAGACATGCCATTTATATGGGCCACATAGGTGGGAAACCATTTGTGTAGAAATTTGCTTGTTGGGCCAACCTTGGGCTCTGATACCATATTAGGAATGTGGCCTAACTTAACCCAAAAGCTAGCTCAAGAGTTAAGGATTGCCACATCCTTTATAAATTTAAAATTCATTCACAAACGAGATGATTCTCGATAAAATAGGTGAAGAAGAAGAAGTTGTAATTGGGTGAAGAAGTTATAATCTAAAGTTCAGGTAAATTAGAATCACAAGCTCAATTCGGTTCTATCTGAAACATCATCTATCTCGCCGGTGGAAAGCTCATCCGAGTTTCTTAACACGACGACGACGACAGACTTTGGTGGTGTTGTTAACTGGCTTTGATTCCGGTTTGATCCGGTTAAAAGAGAACCAAGAGATTTTTTGAAATAAAATTAGTAATTAATTAAGAAAATAAGTAAAATTGAAATTAAAAATTTATTATGAAATCGTGAGTACGAAAACAACAATATTTATTTTTTTGGGTATTAATTCGCACGTTATAATTAGTATATGTATTTTTTTTTCCAAAAAAAAAAATTAAGTATTAAACTTCCAAATAAAAAATAGTTGAGGATTTTTTTGGCATTTTTCCCGTTTATATTTCATACATTTTTTATTTGTTTAGTTGCTTAGAGTCATAGACTATAGAGTGACTGAGTGAGAGTCACTAAACAGATTAGGAGTTAATGGGCCTTAATTGAAGGGCCTACGAAGCATCCGCAGACAGCAACGAAACAGAAATAATAGACGTTTGAAATACACACACACGTGAAATCACATGTTCAATTAATTTTGGCACAGCATTAAAAGTGGTCTCTCTAGCTCAGTGGACTGTTTAGATACATCCACATGGATTTTGTTCCCAAATATACATTCGGTATTTTAATAATTGATTTCAAATTTCAACTTCAACCGTCGTTACACATGCGATTTCAAATATAAAAATCATATATACCAATAATGTTTGTTTATTATATTTTTTAATGTTTGGATTTCGTCAAAATTTGAATACTATTTTGCAACAATCTACTTAAATGATCTCAATTTGTATTATTGTGTATATAATAACAAATAAGATTACCTTGATGACTTGAATAACATAACACTGATTTTCTTATTTTGTAACTTATCTCAGTTTATTCAAGAAAAATTAACACAAAACTACTTTCTTACCCACATCGGATAATTATGGTTTTACAGCAGCCGCAGAGAAAGCAGCCGATTTTGCTTTCCCAAAAAATTTATCGGTATGAATGAATACATGGCTCACCGACAATCTAAACCGATAAATGGTTTGATCAAACCAGTATGGAATTGTCCAAGTCTTAACCCCGTTGGTTTACGCTTCACTGTGAACTCTTCTTTTCATTCTCCAAACCGGACACCGGTTTTAGTAAACTGCAAGTACAACAAAACCGGATTATAGATTATTTCAGACAAGCAGTTACGCCAGTTAGTGAAACAAGATAGCGAAACAACTTACTTTGGTCTCTGTGCTAAAACCGGTCCGGTATAACCTCCATCCGGTTCGCTCGCAGACGGATTTCCCGCATATTGAACCGGAACAAAACCACCATTGGCTTTGCCGGCGACTACTACGTGAGATTTACCGGAGCTACCAGCTGCTCTCGGTGACAATCCTGAAAAATCCAATAAAAAACACACGCATAAGATAAACCAAAATTGGTAATCACAAAACGCAAACGCAATCGTGAAATCAAATCATACCTTGAAAAACAAGAACAAAGAAGAAAATAGCGGTGAAAAGAGTGGCCAAGACATTGCCTAAAGAAGAAGCCGCAGACGCAGCTTTAGCAGCTCTTGATTTCTTCAAAGCTCTCATACGTTCGACTCTCGCGCGTTTCAACATCGCCAATTCAGCGATCTCTCTAATAAGTTTCTGATCCGCCGCATCTAGCGACGGTCCACGCGGCGGTCGTGGAGGCTTCGACGCAGATTTCTTCCGTTTCTCCTTCCGATCGCTTCTCCCCCATCCCGGTTTATTGATTCCACATTGAACCGGAGTTGCATCATTCTCTAACGAACCAACACTTTCTTCTCCGGTAATAACCGGTTTGTTATCAGGAGACATCGGCTTCTCCGGTGATTTAGTATAAACATTGTCGCAATCTATGATTCCTTTCTCAAGATCAACATCGAAATCGAGACTCATTCCCATTCTATCTCACCAGATTAGACAAGATTCCAAAGAACCAAAAAAGAACCAAAGTTTCTCACTTTAGATCAGACTCGAAGTGATCTCTTAGGACATGAATCAAGATCAAGATCTATTCCCAATAGAGACGAAAGAAGACACACATATACGTAATAAAGATGTGTGTCTATATATGTGAGTGTGTGAGTTGCTTTTACTTTCTTTTTTTGTGACGGCTTTAATAGCCAAAGCAAGTAAACAATGAATTACAGCTAACGCCTCCTCGTCTCTAGAAATAATCTGCAAAAGCCAAAATCACAAACTTTAATTTTTTTCACCAATCGATAAAGAAGAGAACTTTTAATGCTTAATCATAGTGTAGATTATGGATAATTACCGAATCAAAAATCACGTGGTTGGGAATACAAAAAGAAGAGGATTAAAGAGGAGAGTTTGAAGTTTGGTTGATGTTTAATTCAGATACTGTCAAAAGTAGGTAATTTTATATAGTGCATTGATTCGAAAGGAAAAAAAATATATTTATTTTTGCTTAATCTCGGGCATGAAGCAAGGAACAGCTGTGTTTTTCCTTTTTTCCAATGCCGTGACTTAGGGGAAAAACATATACTATAATTATTTTTTTTAATAAAAATGAAATAAATATTCTTATCGAATCGAATTCGAAAACGCAGAAATTAATATCGAAAATACTGATGAGTGATCAGAATTCAAATGATGAATGAAGATTGATTTAGAACAGTCACACAGATTAGAAACTGTAGACGATTTAGAAAAACTGAGGATTAAAAAAAAAAAAAAGTGAACGAAATTGGTGTGAATAAAAGAGAAAAGAATTTGAACTTTTTTGTGTTACCTTGAAACGAAAGCGAAGGAGACTCAGATCCGATACTGAAGAGAAGAGCAGAGAGACCGAGGAGAAAATGGCGGATTATTTTGTCCAATTTCAGACCGATTCCAAAGAAATAAAACTAATTCAAGACAAAGAAGAAGAAAAAAAAAAATTTATACACACATTCGTCGAAGTTTCTAACTTTTTTCTTTTTCCAGGAGAGATCGAAATATATAAGATAAAATTATGTATTAATCGGAGAGAACGAATTAAATTAATAAGAGAAATTTTTAATAAAGGAAAAAAAGGACAGCAGATTTGAATTCGAAACAGATATAGGAACTGTAATGTGTTCGGACATGTGTTGCTGTTCTAAATATAGCTGAGACTGAGATAATACGCATGTGAGATTTTTCTCCAGCAGCGACGCTTCACGTCACCGACGCCCAAATATTCTTTTATTCCACTTTGATCCCATTATTTTATTTTCTTATACGTTTGCACCCTTATTTTGTTATGTAAGATGTTTTTTTGGTTTTTTTCCAAGAAAACAAAACTAAGTTTTGCTAATTTGTGTACAAAATTTTAAGAAAAAATCAAGACCAGAACAGAATTGGACTAGACAATGACAAACAAATACAGAGACGACATATATTGTCCTAATTCGAAAAATCAATTGGTCCCATTTTGATAACTATAAATCTATCTGGCCCAGTTTACAAATATATGAAAATGACGACTTAAACAGGAGCGGTTCCCTCAACTGGACTGCCTCCTCACACTAATATATTTGTATTAAGTCCCTTGACTATCAAAACTTTCCGATTTAACCCCCAAGAAATCTGATTAGTCAGAACCACCCAGGTCTTAAGAAGTTGGTCTCATCGCGGTCAAATTCGTCAACAACCTCGTTTTGTCACACACTTTTTTTGTTTTCTCATTCCTAAATTCTGTCTACACATTACTACAAGTTATATTAGGCTATGAAAGTCAGAGTTTGAATTTTGATGTGATGCTTTTTATTCTTACAATTTCATTCCACTAACTACATACCTAGATTGAAGAGTAACATTTATATTTCCGAATAAAATCAATAATTATAGAGAAATTATAAGGCATGGGGGTGTCTGATTGGTAGGGAGCTCTTCACATCGCACTTAAAGACAACATTAAATTGAATCGGTCCATTTCCTAAATGATACCGTGGCCCCATGAAGCTGACTTGTTACACCAACGCTCCTTAACACGTTTTTTATCTTTTCATTGAGATATAAATATGTACCTTTCTCTCTTCTGCCGTCAACAATTCACACTAAATATTTTTATCCATTACTGTATAGTTTACCCATCATGAATTTTGAAAAGAATATGTACATAGACCTTAAAAAGTATATTTCGAGTTTAGTGCCCAAATAAATCTTAAAATCTTATACGAGGAGAAACTCTGTACGTGTAAAGAAACACGTGAATGATGGTAAAAAAAAAAAAAACACGTGAATGGATTTTTTTGGTGACGACGACCAGAGCAGTCAAATTCTGTTTGCCAATCGAATCGGCAAATCCGTACAGCGGTACAGGGGTGATCTACAAATTTTATGTATTGGGCCGAGAAGCCCGTCTTCTACGTCAAAGTTATAATCTTTTTTTTTTTAACGACACCAAGGCTTATGAGGATTTTGATTGAATTCGATGGCACACAATGCTATTAGTACAGTTACAAATACAAAAAATTAAGTTTTTTTTTTTTGTTTTGGTCCCAAAGTTATAACTGAAATCGATTTCTTTTCTTTTTTTTTTCGTTTTACATTTTTCTGTTCGTGCATGTTATTTTCACTCGAGCCATAGTCTTTTTTTTTTTTGTTCCAATTTTATTGGACACGTCTCCAAAAAAATTCTAGCGATAGTGGAAGGAATCAATAAGTAGGATAAACAAGGTACATACGAATAGTACGAAATGATATATATATATAAGAATCGGATATGGTGCATGGTAATATATATATGGCAATGCTTGTGATTTCCTAATATAGAAAGTGAAACCACATCGTCTACTATATAAGTATAAGTTGTTTGAAAAATCGCTAGGCGCTAGTCGGGCGCTCGGCATGGGCCTAGCGATTAATCGGAAAATCGGATTAAAATCGGGGAATAGTTTTAGGGTTATTTTAATATTTTTAAAATATATTAATCCAATATTGTAAAAATTTATGATTTTTATTACAAATTTATGATTTTTATTAAAATTTGAACACAAGTTATTGTAAAACATCACAAACTCTCCATTCAAATGATTGAATAACAAAAATAAAAAGTTTTTTTATACTTGCAATCTAAAAAATAATCGGGGTATATAAGATTAGGCGGAAAGTAATCGGATTAGGCGGAGAATAATCGGGTTACTGATTTTTTAGGGGATTAGTCATTAATCGAGGCGGATAGGGTGGGTCTAGCGATTAAGCGGGGAATAATCGGGGCTAGGCGGGGATTTTTAGAACAGGGAGTATAACAAAGAGTGATCTCTACTATATACAAGCATGTATATATATATGTAACCACAAAACATCGAACAACTTATTATCATAAGTCCAGAATCATGCAACAATAAGCAATAAGAATGATTTAGGGTGAGTCACCGTTATTATCTCCACCACCGTATCCGCTTCCATACCCTTCACCATATCCACTTCCATAGCCGGATCCATTTCCGCGGCTACCACCACCACCACCTCCTCCTCCTCCACCACCACCTCCGCCGCCTCTACCACCACCACCACTTCCATATCCAGAGCCGCTTCCATAACCTGACCCGTATCCGGAACCTCCCTTTCCGCCTCCACCTCCACCACCTCTACCGCCACCTCCACCTCCACCTCCACCTCCACCGTTTCCTCCTCCATAACCACTACCGGACCCATACCCTGACCCGTAACCACTCCCTGACCCTTCTCCTCCACCACCCCCTCCTCCTCCTCCTCCTCCTCCTCCTCCTCCACCACCACCTCCACCGTTGCCTCCCCCAGAGCCTGAACCATATCCTGAACCTGAACCGGACCCTCTACCAAGAGCTTTTGGTGATCTAGCTGCTAAACAGAAGTCAAAAACTACTAAAACCAAGAAAGCAGCTCCTAAGAACTTGAGGCTTCCCATGTTTACAACTTCTTTATTAAGAATGTCAGCCACAAATCAAGAGATCGTTTTTTGTAAAAGTTTTAAGAGTAAACGAAGCTAGCTAGAGAAGCCGTTTGTAGTGTAGAATCAATACGATGTTTTATGGAGAGAATGTTGGTCCGTGTAGGTATTTATAAGCAACCGAGGATAATGGAAACGTAAGAGTCACGTAACTTCTAGTAGCTTCCTTTGACCAATATGTGTGAACAATGGTGAATAAAGTGGGCCTGCAATTTCTTAGTGCTCTTGTAGGTGAAGATACAGCAATCGCCACTTCTCCAATACCATCCCAAATTATATTAATTATACATATATATATATCAGGCCCGGCTTAGCACATGTGCTAGGAATGCTAGGGCACAGGGTCTTAGTCTTCTAGGGTTCAATTTTTTTTTTTTTTTTTTCATAAAAAAAATTCCAACTTTTTTTATAAAATAACCAACTAAATAAAAAATTATACCTTAAAAATCCCAAATTTTGTTAAAAACAATATAAAAAATCCAAGTTTAAGAAAATAACATTTCTATAATTAAAAAAAACAATTATTTGAATACAAATTCGGTATTTTTTTTAAATTATAATAATAGACAAAAAAAAAAAATTTTGTCTAAGGAGCCTTAATTTCTTTGGGACAGATTTAGCACCGGGTCTCGTCAATAATTGAGCCGGTCCTGATATATATATATATATATATATATATATATATATATATAGTATTGGAACATGTGTCGTCTTCTTTACGGCTCATCTCTCTAATTCCAAATAGTAATTATATATATATATATATATGCTTAACAGATACGTGTAAATGTTTCGAATAGCACGATCCATCGAGCAACATTTCCATAAGTAGATGTTACGTATTATCATCTTTGGAAAAGAAAAATCACACGTCATAATGATATTCGTTAATGGTGTGTACACTGTACTTTTTCAAGTACGTGACCTCTCTTATCTGTTTTTCACCCAAGGGAGAGAAAGAGAGTTTTATTGTTTTGAATATGATGAAGTTGGGACTTTGGGACCTCCCACTTATTGGAATCGGCCCTATTTACATTTTACAGATACGCGTGAAGGAGGTCCATACTTGACTTTACTGAATTATTATTGGGTCTATTGGTTACTTATTATAAGAACCCCAATAGCCCGTTATAAAGTTAAGGCCTGACTAAAATATTAATTTGCTTAAACTCTAAAATATTATGAATTTTTTGGCCCAACGATTATCAACATGATTACATGAAAAGACAAACAAATTCTTTTTTCTTTTGGATAAAATAGATTTGTTAGAAAATGAGTAAAGAAAGACTGTCAAATGCATAACCCTATAATTAGTTTAGTGAAAAATGCAAGATAAAAGGAAAAAGTAGCAAGATTTGTAATTGTTTTTTACTTTTACAAAAACTTAATCGGGTAATCCATACACTAATCTGGTTCACGGTCAAGCATGTCTGACCAGTGACCACCATACCAATCTGAAGTTTGAACCAATAGTTGTCAATATACTACTGTACATTTCTTGAGAATTTTTGCGGTTTTATTGGAATTTTTTGTTGTTGTCGTTGTTCTAGTTCCTTAATAATATTTCATTAATAAATTGTTATTTTCGTGTTTTACGGCTTTATGGAAAACTAGACAGGGCAGGGTCCTACCCACGTGCGTTTTTAAAGAGCTGTGGACAATGTTTTTCTCTTTTCTATGTGTTGTAGGCAAATTAACGAGCCTCTTCTCTACTTTTTTTTTTTTTTTTTTTGATTTTAGTCTCTTCTCACCTCTTTCCTAACTTAAATAAATAAGTAATCCAGTTATCGGTACTAATTAGGGTAAACATAAAAAAATATAAACGCGTTTAGTAGATGATTTGCGCAAAAAAAAAAAAAGATCGTAAACTAAGTGGATAAGTGGTGACTGATGAGAATGTCGAATTTCGAGTGGTGGACTGATGATGTTATATCTCTAGTGTTAAGTTTTTTCCCTACTGTTAATATTATATAGTCATTTCTTTTAAGAAATAAACATATTATGCAGATTAATAGTATAAAATTTGACATAACATTCGTCTGGGAAAAAAAAACAAAGGAATAGTATAATCGATTTATCACCAGCATTTCAGAATTATCACCACGCTTTAAGAAAATCATTCGGTATTCGCCAATTCTGTAGTTTTTTCGTCATGACAAGTTATGAAACAGAGAAAATAGAGCTAGATGCATGATTTTTTGATATTTTATTAGTCCTATTTTAATCACCCTTTTCGCGAAAAACTTGGAAAATGATAAACTAGTAAAAAGTGAAGAATTCGACACTTTGCTCGCGCATGTTTCTAGAAAGTCAGTTTATAACTAATCAAGGTTAGATTATGTATGATTAGTAGGAAATTAATTATTGTTTAGGGATCTAATTGCCACTCAATAATTCATCACCAAGAAGTGCCTTTTCTTAAAAGACAATTCTAGAGGACGAAGGAAAGAACAACCACTAGTTGTATCGTAGCGTGTGACCCTCTTGCTAGATTGCTTTTTTTAGGCTTTCATAGAATAGATAGATCAAAACGCAAAATTACATTTCATGTATATATCAATTACTAGTTCTGCGTCTCTAGTCTCTATCTAACAAAAACAAGTACGCCGACTACTACACAAAATTGATTTAGATGTCAATGTAACTACATTATTGTAAGTGTACCCTACTCTAAATTTCGTCTGCTTGATTACTAGAAAACCTCATATGTATAGACTGATTATTTAGACTTTGGACTCTTAATTTATCGTATTGACATCGATTTTCAGCATTTCATGGTTAATAATTGGCCGTCTAGGAGTATAGGAATATGAAGTTTTGGCGTTATCTAGTGATACTTTATTTACGTAAGAGCTATATATTGATCAAAAACTATGTTGCATGGAAACTCTTTTCGAGGTCCGTTCGGAAACGGAAACTCTTCGAAAACACGAAAAACGTCACGGAAATGCGTTTCCTAAAAATCTATGTTTGGAAACACGGTGGAAACTCACGTTTCTAAAATGGAAACGCGACAAATCTTTTTTATTGACTTTGCAAACTTAATAAATAAAAGTTGAAAAAATTAAGATTTATAATACATATAACTAATTTTGGAAGACTATGAGTTTTAAAATTTTTTATCGACAAACTAGATTTGGAGACATCTTTATATGATCTACGATGAAACTAATGAAAATGAGAATGAAAATGTTGGTCTAAATTAACTATTTGAACTTGAACCTTTTAATCTTTTTTCTTTTAGAAATTTAGTTAACCTATTTAATATTTGATGTTTTGGACTTGTATTGTTTAATTAAACAATTTTTTATAGTTTTATGTTAATGTTATATATATATATATATTATATATGTGTATACGTTTCCAAAACGTTTCCAATCCCTAATTTTAGAAAAAAATCATTTCCCGTTTCCGAAATGTTCAGCTTCCACATTTCCGTTTACGTTTGCATGCAACATAGATCAAAAATATCTATTATAACTGTTTTGTATAAACGTTAAAACCAAAATAGAAATGTTGTAGAGGTAAGAAACAATAAGTTATGACAATCGATCTTACTCTTTTTTTTTTCTGTGCAACTCTATTGATTACATAATTATACAGAGTTTGTTACAACAAGCCAAAGCCAATTTTGCTAACGAGTTAGCCTCCACATTCCCTGATCATGGGATGAAGAGCAAGAGAAACTACTAAATAGATCAATACTGATATGAATATCTGTCAAAATGCCGTGAAGCTCCGTGATTAAAGCTTTTGAATTGATCGCTTTAACCAGAACCTGGCAGTCCGATTGAAGCCTCACATGTTTAGCTCCAAATTCCACTTAATAAAAGTAATTAGTGGACAAAATAGGAACTACGATAAACAAATTAGAAACAGTTTTGTTAGCATGTAAAAATGTATCAAATAACATAAATTTACAAAAACAAGAGCAATTAACAGTTGTAGACTGCATGTTATATTAGGTTAAAATTAAAAACGCAACTCTATCTATAAATTAGTACAAACAAAGTCGAACTTAAATTGCATTTTTAGTCAGGCTAACACATTTTTAGCATTTTTGTCAACTGAATGTATGTTGACATGACCAAAAAAAAATAAAATAAATAATAATAACAATTTGATTACTGAAGATTTGTTTATTACTTGACAACCCAACAAACTTTGTCGTGGATTGAAATGAGACCGCAGAGAAACGCCCATCTCTTGTTTCAATACAGCAACCAAACGACGTACCATGCATAATTCCTATCGACATTTTTCTTTTTAAAATATTTGTTTTTTTCTTGTTGTTACTTGTTGTGAATTTAACGTTTTGTTCTTGTCGTATACGTTAGGTTTGTAAAAACCATATTTCTGAAATTTTATGTGTGAAAAATAATTATATTTTCCTTAGAACATATCAACCATGCAATATTTGCACACAAGTACACAGTGGCATATTTTGTAAAAAAAAACAAAAAACATTTGTACCAAAGCATGCATTTAGTTACATAATCAAAAATATATTCAATTAGACATCTTTTTTGCCGAATATGATGAATAGTGAATTTTTTTAGGGAAGTAGATAATCTGAGAGCACACGTGTGGTCCAACAGGTTATGTGCACCACGTGCGAATAAGAATGGTCAGTTGCTTGTGTATGGTTCGGACAGCGGCACACGACAGGCTGCCCGTCATGGCGGAACTAGAACAATCTTGATTTATATAACACACGATTGTTGTGTATTTTTGCATATATATAGAAGACATTTTTATCAAATAGCCAAGTGTCTAAATCCATAAGATTATTGTGTGCAGGAAGATATTTTACGTTGAGTTTGTTACGATATTCAACAAAGAAACTTGCAAAAGTCACCATTCCGTTAAAACTTAAACGTGAAAGTTTATTTTGCATAATTGCATCATTTGGAACTTAAAAAAGTTTGATCGGTTGATCCTAGGAAAAAAATGCTTGATTAACTTAATGAGTACATACGTTCTTCAATATATTGATACCAGTTTGTTCAACCATTGGGATGCAACTACTATATTGGTGTTGTTGCGACCGTCGGAAATGCTGGTATCACAAAGGTTCGCGTAGAGTTTAGCTCAATAGTAATTATATATATATATATATATATATATATATATATATATATATATATATTAGGATATAGCAAAAATTTGAGAGAGTTGTATTTCGTTCAAGACATATCTACGAATATTGTGTTTGTTTATCTAGTGGATTCGTTTATGAACTTAATAAGTCTCTCTTTTTTTTTAAAGAACTCAAGTCTTGTGGATGTAGTTTTTTTTTTTTTTTTTTTTGCTAAGAATGTAAATATTTCATTAGAAAATGAAAAAATTTAGGAATTACAAGAATATAAAACTTATAGTTTGGTCCCATGGCAGAAAATAATTAAAAACATGGAAGCAAATATCAATCTTGTGGATGTAGTTGTATATCTCTTTTATTATTTCCACTTATCTAATTTCATAAGATTTTTTTTTATATAACTTTTTCCCCTTATTTTGTCGCTTTCTTTTTTCTCTATTTTGTCGATAGATAGTAGTGAATAGTGATCATAGCTAGAACCACTAGATTATGACTAACTTTTCCATTTTGTATATATTAAGTACATAATGATATAATTACCCAATGTTGACCTGTTAAATTTAATGCAATACCTATTTTATCAAGATTATTTATTTATTTACACGTTTTTTTTTCAAAATGACACATTTATCGACTATTTATGCTTTGTAATCCTAAATTACTATCAATGTCTTGAGGGTTTTCAAACTATGGATTTGTTAAAACCCTTCTTAGACAATTTATGCTTTATAAACTAGTTTTTCTACACAAGTCCATCAAAATTTAGGAAACCTTCTTAGATAAATTTTAAAAACTCTTTCACCAAACATAGTTTGTGAAGTTTTCTTATGTTTACATCCTAGTATATATATATATATATATTTGTAGTGCTTTCAAAGTTAACACTTCCATCTAAGTTAATGATCATGGAAAATGTGTACAGTGTATTTAAACCGACAACTAAGTGACTTAAATAGTTGACAAAACAAAAAAGTGATTGGAATAAGACCAATAAATAGTCTTTATTGACAATCAAAATAAAGAGGTTAACAAAAAGCAGCTTAAAGCTCATAGTGACATTATTCACAATAAGAGTCTATGACTACGCCAAAATCATTTAATCCATGTGCTCTTCTCTTTTTCGTTTTCTTTCTTTTTGGTGGACAAAATTTATTTTGACGAACACAATTGTCCTTTCCCTCGTAATATTATGACTACATCAATCTAAGATTAAACCAAAAATTAGTTTTCATTTGAATACTCACCTCGAGCAACGCAATATTTTAGGCTATTATATGCACTTCCTACTATTAAATACTCACTTTGCACCTATTCACTGCTATTCAAAATTATGCTTTGAAAAAAAGTAATTTAGTTTCATTATATTTTAAAATAGTTTTAATGACTATTACAGTATGTATATAACTTGACACATCAAAATATATAAACTTTTAGACTTTAAGCCCAAAAATAAAGTCTATTCCTTCTTGTTAAAAATATTTATTTATACTGTATGTAATAAATTCTTCAGACCTTTTCTTCTCTGTTTTCTTTTGATGTAATAAAATTATACTGTCAAGTTCAAGTAGTTAACCGGATTTCTGTACTACATATTTTCTGAAGTATATCTATTCAAAGATTTTCATTGTCTACCCAATTGAATGCATCACATGTGCAACCAAAATATAAGTGTTGGTGGGGTTTAAGGGTTTTGTACAAGTATTGAGAAAGTTGGAGATAATGTAAAAACCATATGACATGTGTCAGAAAACATTATGTTTCATGAATTTCCTTTTTTATTTTTTTGGAAATTTGGTATTACTATTCCTCCAAATACTAACAGTTTCACCAAAATCAGTGCCTTTTGGCCGACCAAAAACAAAGAAGAAGATTGAAGTGCCTTTTTTCACCTTTTTCGTGTATCCGAGTAGTAAGTAGTAAAAGAATCAACCGAAAGAGAAAAAAAGCTGGCCAAAAAAATACAGTGGTCGATTATATACCCTCTGTGCAAAATGAATCACGTGAGTCATCATGTTCATGTCTTTCTCAACCATGTGATTGCGTTAACTCTCTAGATTTTTTTGCATCCCCAAAATCTAACCACATACCAAAATAAACCCCGATACCATTTACAAAAGAAGAAAATAAGTGTAGTCATAACAGATCTCCATAACAAAGAGAATTCAGTTCCAATCACCAACCTAGCTTCTTCAAACATAACAAAACAAAAACTAATTATACTCTCCATTGTTGCCTTTTGCCATATCATTAATTCACCAAACACTTAAAACATTAAAATCGATTTTGTCATTATGTCCACAGTTGTTATCTTAATCAACAAGTATTGAAAACACAACAACCTAATCACAATCTCTCAAATGTGCTTCCACGATTATCAAGAAACTGAAATTTATTACGGTTACAGAAATCAATCTTTCTCCTTCTTGGCACTATTTTTGGTAACAGAGAGATTCAAGAAAATAAGGATATACATGATGAAATGGTAAATAAAGTTGAATAGTAAAATATTCAAACAACAAACAATACAGTGAGAAGAATAATAATGGAAAAACAGTTTTTTTTTTTTTAAATGAAAAAAATTAAAAGGACAGTTTGGCCAACTAACCAAGCATGTGTGTTTGTCCCCCATCATGACCTGGCGGCGGCGGCGGAGGAGAAGAACTGACGGCGGAGAGAATCGCAGTCATAGTACGAATCTGCATCTCCATGGCAGCTATATAATCAGTAGTTTCTTCTAAAACCACCGGTAATGTTTGTTTACGGCAACCGGGAACTAACCGGCTCAGAAGTTTCACTTTCCTCTGTACAGCTGGCAAACCTTTAGCCTTCAGCCTCAAAACCGTCGCTCTCTGTTTCTTTGACCTGATACTCCCGGTGGTTAACGTCGTCGTCGTCACCGGATTTGAGATTCTCTGCCGTTTCTGCTTCCTGAATTTGAGTTTAACAGCTTTTGAGAGTATCGCTCGACTCCATAACGTTTTACCTCTCGCCGCAACTGCTAAAGCTCTATCGGCGACTTCACGCACAGCTCTACCGCCACGTGGAACCGAAGACGACGATGACGAAGATGGTTGTTGACTGATTCGTAGCTCTTTTAAAGCACGAACTAGCTTCGTTGAGTAGATCTGTTGCTGCTTCTCCGATCTCCATTTCTCCAACGATGTCGATGGTGACGGAGATGAATCAAGAGACGTCGGCGATGATTTCTTCTTCCGCTTACGACGAGAACGATCGGAACTAGAGCTCGTCGTCGGATGAAGAAGCTGAGGAGTCATCGAATCCATAATCGCCGATCAAATCTCAGCGAGTTTTGGTTCGATGAGATCAGAATCAGAAGCTGAATTCGAACTGTTGGATCGGAATCGAGGATCTGTGTAGAAGAAAACGAGAATCGAGAGATGAAGAAACGGGGAAGAGATTAGAGAGATGTGATTAATAATTTACCTCAAGGGGGATGGAGAACGGAACGGGACGGAGGAGAAGGTGGGAGAGATGAGGTGTCAGAAAGGGTGTGGAAGAGGAAGACGAATCCTTTCTCTTTCTTTTTTTTTTTTTAAATTTTATTTTTAACAAAAGAGGAATGAAGCAAAGAATCGCATTTTTATACACATTGTAACAGAAAAAATTACTGTCGTTCCTTTCTTTCTTCTCCTCCCATGTGATGTGCACTATCCTGTTAGAATTAATTATTGTTATCCTCTTCCTACTTTTTCCTTATTTTATGTTTTTTAATTCCATAATAAAATTACTGTTGTTCTTTTCTTCTCCCATGTGAAGCTCTCGTAAAGCACAAATTAATTATGATCATCTCTTTTTTTTTTTTTTTTTTATAAAACTAGTGATTTCTATTTTTTTTATAATTAACGTTTTCTCATAGATTAAATAATACACGTATTTATGTAAGCGGTTCGGAATGTACTGTTTTGATAATTATCCATCAAAAAGTGTTATTAAAAATATTACTTTTAGTTTTTTTTTTTGTATTATTTTTGTGTACTAATTTTTCTTTTTACACTATTTCGTAATAATTTACCGTTTTAATTTACAATTTTTTTATTACCAATCGAATTTTATATTTTATTTTTATTTGATCTACCGTTTTCTTTTACTTAAAACTTTGATTGTTAGCTACGAACAAAAAACTTATTTTTTCATTTCTAGTTTTTTGTATAGCTTAATTTTGGATTCAATCAGAAAATAATAAGATTTTAAGATCCATATATATAACTTTGGACTAAACTAATATTATTTGGTGTGGTTTCGGATCTAAAAAATTATGGTCCAAAACTTCTTAATATTCAAAAAAATAAAATAAAATAAAAATAGAAATAAGATCCATATTTTGTCAATTTTACCTTCTCATTTCTTTTTCAAGAGTTTTAAAATCAGAAAGCCCTATAGGAATGAATGAAAGACGTTTGAAAAAGACACGTTGGACCAAAGATTATTTGCCAACTGGGTTATGGATTTTCTCTGAGGCAGGCTTATAATGAAAGAAAAGAAAGCCCATAATTCTAGTATCAAGGCCCATTTTGTTTGATGTTTGCGGCCGAAAAAAACCCTAAAGACCTAAAATCACATGTATATATATATACGAACACTGGCGGCGATGCCTAAAACATTCGATCTCTCTAAGCTAGTTTTAGTTTGCTGTGTTTTTTTTTTATGTTCACTTAAAATTGGTTTTTTAGCTGATTGGATTCGCCTCTCAGATTGAATTTCCTGTAGAATATTCAAATATCTATGGGATGATTCATTCATCGATTTTACTCGTGAGGCGATAGATTTTTGCAGGGGCGTTGAGTCGCTTCGTCTATGTTTTAACCAGTCTTAGCGAATAAGCTCGTGCTATATCTAATCACTAATCGTTTTTTGTTAAAGCTTATTAAGGATCCTATGATGGCATGAAATCTTTGAGACCTGATTTTTATTGATGAAAAGCTATAAGCATTTTTCGCTGAGGATCCTTATCAAATTTTTGTATTTGTTTTGATTTTTGATCTGATCTAGGAAGGAAAAGATGATGAATATGCACTGGGCTCTGAGTTGTTGATTGACATTCAACTTCTTTTTGATGGATAATGCAGCCTAGAAAGCTTAATCTGATTTTTTTTTCATTAGTAACTCCCAATTTTTTAGTAGAAATATTTCATAATTAGATCTTGAATCCATATAACGAGCATCTAGTCCTGCATAAGTAATATTATGAGTCCAATTGCTTCATGACTAAATCTGCAAATCAAATCCTTATATCTTTTGACATGGTTTGATACTAAAATTTTATAAAGAGTAAAATAATGGCTTCATACTCACGAAGAGTTGTCCGAAAGCGCATGTTAAAAAGAAAGAAACTAAGCAAATTCTAGTCAAAATGTCAAAATTCTTAGTAACCATACTTGACAATCATGGCAGATAAATATAGAAACGAGAGTTGTGAAAAAGGCTAAGTAAGACAGCATAAATAAAAGAACTTATGATTAGAAGCTTGATGTTACATTCGACAATAGTATGGTTACACAGCTATGTTACATTACAGACTTTTACATAACAATGAGATAAGCAAAACGGCACCAGTCTTTGACAAACGTCAAGATGTAAAAGACCAACTCATCAGAACAGAACTATGCAGACTTGAAGAGAAACACCAGAGTCAAACATAGCCGCTTAATACAAGAGATAACTCATTACGTACGATAATGATGTCGTTTTTTCATTTTTGTTTTTTTTTTTCCATATGTTGCCTAGCTTTTATTCATTCTAGGCAAAAGTCATATAACCAAGTAATAAGAAACATTGTTGTAAAATGTTTTTGGTTTTCAGTGTTCAAGAGCACTCCGTATAGAGACTGTTGTGTCTTGGGTTGTGTTGATGTGGCCTCTGGATATGAGGTCATGGTTCAAGAACACCACTATAACCGTGATGTCATCGTGAAAATGGCGTCTCACTTTCTTGTCAATCTTCCTTAGATCTGAATATCTCATCTCACGTTTCCTCGCTGCCTCGTGAAGAGCAGCTTTTATCAGTCTCTTTGCGCTTCCCTGAACAGAGAGCGAACACATAGTGCAACAAATCAATCATACATCTAAATAACTTGTAAATAATTAGGATTCTTATGAGTTAACTCAGTTATCTGCAATCTAAAACTTAATCCAGACCAAAAAGCCATACCGAATCAATCAAGGAAACTTAAACACGGATCCTTACTGTGAGGAACAGCAATATAATACTATGGGCAAACTAAGCACTTCAACCATTTGTCTAAGAGAGAAGTTAAGAAAGAAACTTACAGCACGGGGATGGTTATGAACAATCTCAACTGCTTTTTCGTTAGTCAAATGTTCCCATAGACCATCCGATGCAAAAATGAGAAACGAATCATTAGGATGCAGAGGATGAGAGAGTATGGTCGGTGTTGCAGACATCAATGGTCTCTTCATTGGCTCTGCAAGTCTGAACTTTTGACTGATTGGCTCCTTGTTAAATTCAGGCCGTTTCATGTACATGTCTCCTATAGACCTCGAAACCTATATAAACATTCAATCAAAGTTGTCACTAAACACACGGAATCATCAGAAAATCCTACGAGATCATAAAGAGGGTACAACGCATATTTAGTTTGCTTAGTGCATATGTATTTAGTTAGCTCATCATAAACCCTGCTTACAAAGTACCTCACTTAATCAGTGTTCCTAGGCACTGAATCCTGCTATTATGTGACCTAGCTATGTCTAAGTTTTTGCGTTTTTGGGGAACTAACAACACAATGGAAGTGCCAAGAAAATGGGAAACTACCTGAATGATGCCTTTAACTCTCCAAACTCCATGCCTGAACACAACGATCTGCGGGTCATCAGGATGTGAGTCCTTGAGTTCCCAACGAATATCTTCATTGTTGGCATTGTGTTCAGTCGACAGCTGAATAGCAGAGAGTCCACCACAGTTGCCTTTCTTTCCAAGAACAACCCGTGAATCTCCGAGGCTAGCCACGAAAAGAGTATTTTGATATATCACTCCAACTAAACAACAAGTGCCAACAGTTGCCAAATTTGGTATTTCTTGCCACAGCTCTGACACAATTGAAGCAAATCCTTCTTCGGTCGCATGAAAGGCCCTTTGTATTGTCTCTCTTGTCACAACTCCTTGTGTCTCCGCTGATATTTCTGCATAATCATAAAGCCTGAGCAATCAAAACATAAGAGAGGCTCAACCTCCTTTCATAATTACAGTGCACTCCTAGATGGCTTAAGCCTAGTAATAATTTATGACACTCCACCATCAATGCAAAAGCCAGAGACCCCTTATCTAAATGGCAAAGCACAAACACGAGTCCCATATATCAAACTACATTATACATAGGAGCATACTCGTATCTAAAGTTAAAAGTAAAGACTAAAGTGCCCAAAAGACTGTAGCACCAAACTTGCATTTAGCTCAACGGGAACCTAATTATACCCCAAAGAGATCAAAAAGTCAAAGTACCTAACTTTGTTGACCAATCACCATCTTCATCACCAAGATTTGAACAAAACTTCAAATTTACCCAAAACCCAATTCAAAACACTCAAGCTCGAATGTCAAAATGACGAATAACAGTGTCAATGAAGAATCGGATTACGAACCTCGAAAATGGTTAAAGAGATGATCACAGACATAACGAGCAGCTTCAGGACCACCATGACCATCGTAAACACCAACGAAAGTCCCGAAATTGCCGGATTCGATCTGGCTCTGATCTTCAAGAACCTGATTGGCTTGAATCACAGCCATGGAGAAATCTCCGCCGCAATATTTACCGAGATCACGAAACCAGAGAAGTCCGTCTTTGCCTTCACCACCGGTTCCACCAGAAACGCCACCACCACCACCCGATCCAGCTTCGGAATTATCACAGATGTGCCCGAATGGCTTGAAGCAGAGAGAAAACAGATTCATCAATGAACCTGACATTCAACATCTCTCGAGAACCCTAACCCCAAAACCCACTCCTCGGAACCGTGAGATTTGTTGGGTATTAAGGGTTCGATTCAAAAATTAGAGATAAAGGAGCGGGATTGGGTAATGGAAATGAGATCGGGAGAAGAGAATGATGGGAGAGAGAGAGAGAAAAGAGAAAACCCTAGGTCTTAATGGAAGGGAAGATGCGTAGGATAAGATGTTTAGGCGTATGATAAGGTGGGAGGCGTAAGATAGTAGTAGAAAACGAAGACGGACGTGTCTTGTCCGGTCGTAGAGGAACAAAGAAATTCTCGCTTGTAATTTTTTGTCTGATGAGGAGAGAGCGATCTTCCTTAGCTGTCCGACCATTTTCTATGCCTATACTATTACACAACTGTTGCCCAAATTTTAAATTTTTTTTTAACAAATTATAAACTATATTATAAAAATAAATAAAAGATGAAATGTTTGATATATAACTAATTAAATTAAACTTAATACAAATCTGAAATGTAACATATTTATATGATTTCAAAGTAAGGTATTTTGTGTTTTTTCTAATAAGAGTATTACTTCAGTCCATCACTATATCGAGTTCTTTGCATTATCATTTTTTTTTTTTACTCAAAAGACTTTCTACATACTTCTAGATGTAATGCATTTCACTTGTGCAAGTAAATCTTCACCAATCTATATCATTGAAAGTATATGTTTGAAGATAATTTCACTTCCACTACTCGAGAAAAGCCTTCCCACGCGGGTTTAGTTTCCTCCATTCACCAACATACGTTTAACTATGATATTTGGTTATGTCTAATTACACTAGATTGTGCGCTACTTTTGAGTCACTGAGTTTCGGGATCATGAAATGGGACTCTAATCGATATGCGTTTGATTAAGCACAAATGTATAATTTACATGTATAGTTGTTCTTTCGATCGACATTTGTTCTCTATTTATTTTTTGTTAAAGAAGAAACAATGGTAACATTTACATCTGAACTTTAGTGTAACATTCCGGTTTCAGGAATATGGTGGTGTATGCGGAGAGGTTTATAAGAATTGATTTGACCACCTATGTCACCAAAGTGTACTTATCTTTTCGGTCAACTGTCGTGAGAGAACTTCATAATTAAGTGTGCTTGAGCTGGAGCAATTTCAGGATGGGTGACCTTCCGAGAAGTGATTGTCGGAACTGTGTGAGTGAGGACAAAACACAGGGAAACATCATGTGGTGATTTGTAGGGTCGGTAAACAAGTCTTTAAAGACTCCCGGACGTAGCGGACCGACTGCCGAACAGGGATGGGGCCCATGGGCCCGAGAGAAGACGTGGGACCCACTGGTAAGGACGGTCGGGGCGTTACAAGTAGTATCAGAGTCGAACCCAGACGAGTGTGGAGTCAAGAGGGCTCACACCGTAGGGGGTGATGGTCTTGGTGCGCAACAAGGACGTTGCGATCTGTTAGTGAGGGTGAATTGTAACACTCTGGTTTTAGGAATGTGGTGATGCATGCAGAGAGCTTTATAAGAATTGATTTGACCACCTATGTCACCAAAGTGCCCTTATCTTTTCGGTCAACTGTCCTGAGAGAATTCCACAGTTAAGCGTGCTTGAGTTGGAGCAATTTCAGGATGAGTGACTTTTCCAGGAAGTGATTGTAGGAACTGTGTGCGTGAGGACAAAACACATGGAAAGATCATTTGGTGATTTGTAGTGTCGGTTAACAAGTTTTTAAAGTCTCCCAGACGTATCAGGCCGGCTATCGGACAGAAGTGAACCAATAAGCCCGAGAGAGAACGGAGGGGGCTCCACTGGTAGAAACGGTCAGAACATTACATTTAGTCTTTCGTTTACTATATAATAAAAAATGAACGTAAATTTAAAAGAAAAGCTCATTGTAGTTCACATTATAATATATTCTTATAATGTTTTGCTACTTCGCTCTAAAATTTTTTGACTATAATTGTGTCATTGATAAGTTTAAAAAAAATGAACTAGGTCAAATTAAACCATAAAATATCATACATATATTTTTGTTAAAGATAAAATATCATATTAAGACACAAATACCTCATACAAAAAAGAAAAAGAAAAAAGAAGTAGACATAGATACTACATAATTTATAAAAGAAGGATTTAATCCCAAGGAAAGCAACCATCAAACACGCCGGTCTTCCCATTCAACTTGCAAGGTCCATTTTTCCGTATTTTCCATTCGCATTTTTTGCAGCCAAACTCTTGAAATTCTTTGTCTCTACTCTGTTTGTAGATATCAAATTTATGACTCTCATTTCCCCAACTAAAGCTACAGAAAAACAAAGTCCTGCCGAAGATATCCGGAGTAAATCCAAACGACCACGATCCACCTGGTGCTAAACTCCGGTCTCCAAGATCATCGTCCCCTGATTTGCAGTGGTACCGTAGTGGCAAACCACCTCCAAGATCATTATAAATCACTACAGTCGTCGAGGCTCGGGACATAGTTGCACTCGTGAACATAATCACTACAAAGAAAGCTAAAGAATGTTTTAAGAGAACCCATAATTCGTCTAAATTTTTTTCTTTTCTTTTATCTTGGAAATGTCCAAGTATATGTTGATGACTATTTCATTCAAAATTGTTCAGTATTTATACTGTATCGGTAACATGTTAAAGCAACACTTTCCAAATTATGATCCATGTTTATCTTGACAATATACACTTTCCAAATTATGATCCATGTTTATCTTGACCATATAAACTTTCCAGTTTTATCCTTCTTTTTTCTGACACATATGAATTGCTTATTCAGCTTCCTCTAATTGAGTCGTATCCCTGTAATTGTTCCACTCATTACTCAGCACAATTACTCTACAATTCTGTATATAATCAGTTGTAATTAGGCATGACCACGGTTACGGTTATTACGGTTACGGTCGATTAACTGCCGGTTACGGTTATAATTTTTTTTAAACCGTAACCTTAACCACTATATATACGGTTAAAACGGTTACGGTTAAATATGGTTACGGTTACAACGGTTACGGTTAAATACGGTTACGGTTATTTGATGATTACGATACGGTTAATATCGGAGATAAAATCTTACGAGTTAACTAACTTTTTATAATACTTTTAATAAGATGAAAAAATATGTTATAAACCAAATTTTCTTCATTTTTAACAATATAGCATTAGAACATATTTGTTTGAGAAAAAAACCATTTTTCCTAACGTAAATTTTTAATGTGCGGTATCATTTACTTTTTTTAAAAAATCTTTATCTGAACATTCGATATTTGTTTTTGCATTATACGCAGCTACAATTATATTTTTAAAGTTTTAACTATGCGGTTAACCATGCGGTTAACCGTACGGTTAACTAACGGTTTTGACACGTTTACGGTTAATTAACGGTTACAGTTAGTATATTTTTTTACCGTAACTAATCTATTTTGACGGTTAACGGTTACAGTTTTTAACCGTTTTATATGGTTACGGTCCCGTTACGGTTGAGAAACGGTCCGGTTACGGTTCGAAATACGGTTACAGTTAGCTTTTGGTCGTGCCTAGTTGTAATCCTTCATATTAATATACAAGTCAATTCCATATATTTCATATTGACCTATGTGACATTCTCGATTATATTAAATTTGAATGTTCGGTTCCTAGATTTTTGATTATTTAATTTTGTTGTTATTGAAAAATTATATGTTTTATAAATAATTGAAAAATATAAGAAAACTATAACAATTGTTTTGTTCACAATTGCTCCAAGAAGATATACAAAATTATTGGGCAGTAGGAAGATTGAGGCCCATAAGTTGAGAAGATAATCGATTAACTTCAATGTGACCAGTAACTGTTGTAGCGTTTTTTTTAAGCAAATATAAAAATTGGGCCCTCTTTTTAGTCTGTAAAGATATAAAATCAAATTGGCTTATTACATTTGTTTTTTTTTGGGGCAAAATAGCATTTCATTAAAAACCTTAAACCATTTGTTAAAATCAAAATTTGTTATCTGTGGCAAGGTCCACCATCGTAGTTCGTCAATGATTTTATCCATTTCGAATGATTCTGATCGATGGAGTGAAATTTGATTCTCCAATGAATTTTGAACAAGGAGTGTTTGAGAACGGTAAACTGTTTATGCTTAACTCTTTCGTAAACCGGTTTGACTTAGTCCGGTTACTATGCTTTCAAGCTATTTTAATTTTTTTACTATTTATAATTTCTTTTTTTAAAACATTTGATAATTATAAATATACATCAGTCAGCCTTGTCACATACGCTTCTAACTACTCCTTCACTCCCGGTTAACACTTTGTAAGACGACAATTTTACAAACGCGGAAGAGAAAGCGTTGAAGAAGCGGTCTTGGTCAGCCGCAAACGCTTCGACAAACGGACGTGTACGTGGATCAGCTCCAATCTCCGAGTCAATTCTAAGATTTCCACGTCCCGCGATTGCATCATCGTAATAAGCTGTATCGAAGATCACTGAAGTTTGATCGTTGGGGACAAATGTGGCTTCCGCAGCTTGAGAAGTTGGAGAAAACTCTGGACAAGCCACACGCAAAAACGTTTGAAAACGTGGATCCATGTTCTCACTTGTCGCGTTTGCGTTATCGAAACGCGATAATACGTTGTTGCAATGTGTGACTCCTATCGTATGTGCACCTACAAGAGAAGAAATCTAATTATCTGAATTAAATATGCACTATAATTAATTCAGAGTCTTATTATAAGAAATAAGGAATAAAAGTTTATATACCCATGATGGCTACGGACTCTTCAATGGTCATGCCTTTGCTTGCAAAGAGGTTTAAGGTAGTGTCCACGTCAGCAGTGGAGGGAGGAAGCTTAGAGTCTGCCACGTGTTTGCTTGGAGTAGAGAGAGAGTCTTTTCGTCCTAATGGCACAGCGATGAGTGGACCTCCCGTGAGAGCCACGGCGTCTCTGGCGGCGAGGATGATGACGTCGGAGCATGAGACTTGCTTGGGACACTCAAGCTCCAGTGAGGTTTTGATAGAGCCAATCAGGTCCCTCTTTCTGATTCCGAAGTTCTTGGCTGAATCAAGCTCAGTGAATTGTTGGTCCCCACTTGGCTCGAGTAGGATTGATGCGTCACAGCCCTGTCACATAAGCCACATATTTTTGTTCCCGACAATTAATGATATTGCTGATGAGATGAAATAAATACCAAGAACAATTATCTAATTCGAGTTTTTCTCCATCTCTTTAGAAGAGTATGGAAACCAAAATTTGCGACTTATCTATGTCGGAAAAAAAAACCTTTATAAAAAATGTTAATATTGTGGATTATAGTATAAAACAGTGAATTTCATGCATGTATTGTATGTACTGTCCATAAATTGTATATTTGTATTAACTCAGATTAGCATGTGATCATATCCAGATATCCAATACTCGACCATTATATATGTTTTTCGTACGTATCCGATTGATTAATCAATTAATGTTGCTATATTTAACCAAAAAATTAAAACAAAATAATAATGTTGCTATTTAGCTTATGATTTAGTTTTTGGCAACATGCCTATAAATTTAAGCTAAATATAAACATTAGTATGATTATGAAGAATAAAAACATGCCTATAATTTTAGACACAAACCCATTATATTCCCATGTTGTAAATGACATGATGTGCACTTAAATATGAAACAACATTATCCATTCGTCACATATAGTCCACAATGGACCGTGACATGTTTAACTAATTAAAGTGACATCTTGTTTATTTATTTTTTAATTAAAATTTCCGCATCTTGTTGTCTTCTAAATTTATCGTTAACATGCAAGAGAAATTACGTAGTTGGCAAAATTTTAAAATTGTGTATAAAGCATATCAAACTTTTGTTTGTTATAAAAACAAATTTTTTTAAAAAACGAAAGCTCATGTTAGAAAAAAAAAAACAAAAACGAACGTCTAGTTTTCGTAATATTATTGACGGAATAATCATTACATAATTGGCGATCCTAATCATGATATCTGGATACGTTTATTCACAAAGTGTATAAATTCGAATCCCAAACATAAATTGAGAATTTTCTTAGAGTGAGAATGAGAGATGGATTTGGCTAGAGGTAGAGAACCTGAACTTGGCAGTCATGAAACATAAGCCTTAGCAAGGCTGCAGGAGAAGTAGGGTCAAGTATAAACATTGATGAAAGAGAAGATCTCACGATCTCTTCGACTTTAGGACAAGTCTTCTCGTAGTAACTGTAAGATAATCCTTCATAATTCGTCTCCGCTTGCTCACCATTAATGGAGCTGCATATCAAGCTCATGACAAGAAAACATGATGCAGCTGCGGATTCTGCAACTTTGCTCTTTGGTTTCATCGCTTTTTCTATTGTTTGGAATGTGAGGTAATTAAAAGAGAAGATGACTTGTGTATTTGCAATTGGAAGTGTATGTATAAATAGGAAACTGAAGCTAGAGCCCCCGTGACATTAATTATCCCAACCGTAAATAATTATTTTAAGAACATGAAATTGGTTTGGAATCACAATTAGTTTTAACCGATCGGTTATTGATTATTTTTTGGTTGAGTTTGGTTATCCCCTCGAAGTCTCGATTCATTATACGAAACCAGATTGCTAGGTTTACTTATGTCTAATGTCATTTGTGCGTGATTTATAAAATTTTGTTGTAAGCGATGTGACATTAGTTAAGACAACCAAGTAAACCAACAGTAAGTACCGCCCGAAAATTGGTATTAATTTAAAGTCTACTATATTTCCGGTTAAGTTGGTTAAAACTTAAAAGTTTCAGAACCGAATATATCTATATTAATACCAACAGTGTTATATTTTTTTTTGGTTTCAGTATAGTTGCATGAGTATATATATTAATATATGGGAATTGAAATCACGCATTTGCTTACATAAAAGTAGCGAACCGGTTTGGTTCAATAAATGGTTATAGGTAACAGTTGACGAAGAAGACAAGACAGAGAATATGGGTAAAGCAACATGCATGGATAATGTGAACAGTTAGGTTGATTTTCACGTATGCATCATATACTACACACATATATTATCTTATTATCTATACACATGTAAATTAATGTATTATGATCTATAGAGAATCAAATTTGGGAATTTTAGCCATCTCTTTAAAGTACTTTTCTTATACTATAATGCTTGATTAAAATATTTTAACAACATACAAATTAATATATGATAATGTGGCATCTTGGTTAACTTGAATTAAAACAAGCAAATAGTTAAAAAATTCTTGAATTTAAGTGAAACGTGAATTAGTTATATAATTTTATCATCAATCATTGGCCTAAAAGGCTAAAACGTGAGAAAATAGCCAAAAATAATGGCCTAGCTAGACCAAAAAAAAAAACATTCATTACTTTCAATCGTAAATGCAAGGCTCATGTATATATTTCAGAAAAAATAATATAAATCAGATAAGCCTTATCTATAGACTATAAGGTATAAATAATGGAATATAATCAAAATATTCAGAGAAAGAACCCAACAGAAAAAATATAGACACAAAAGTGTAGGGTTTAGAAGAAAAAGACGAGTAGATTCTAGAGACTCCAGAGAGTAATATCGGTGGAACTCATTAATACGAATCTGCGGTGAAATTAATGTCCCTAGCTGTTTTCCCAAATGTGGATCAACACTGTGACTTCACTATTTCCCTTCGTCATCCTAAACTCTCCTCATGCTTTCTCTTAATTCTCCGTGTTTTCTAATTAAGATCCGCAATAACATACAATGATACAAAGGCCCACAAGTGTAGGAGAGTGTCCGTTAATACTTGATAGTAATTGTAGAAATATGGGAACTAGTATATATTATACGAAAGAAATAACTTTAATTTAATTTAATGTCAACCAGAGTGCTAAACTTTCACAACTCACAAGTAGCATCAAAGTTGTAGCTTTCTTTTCCTATGTTCCCATTCATCATCAAGTTTGAGGTTTCTGGATTCGTTAAGGACAAAATATATCCTTTATTATCTGACTTTCTTTAAGTGAATACATTGGTCCCACGATTACCAGAGCTAAATAAATAATACTATTTGCCAACTTTAATTGCATTAATATGTTGAAAACGACTAATAACTTACGTGTCGAATGTGAAGTTGTGAACCATAAAAAGAAAAAAAAAAAGAGAGAAGAAGTTGTGAACCATATACATTTGAAGATTATATATATCACTCCCAATCCCATACTGATGATCGAATAATTAAAGTTTTGCGACAACTTTTATCGTATATTATGGAGAATGCATAAATCCATTGATTTCTTTTTTATCATTTAAGATTTCCAATACTGATGTTTTTGTATGGTATAAGAAATGATGACAATAATTGACGTTTTACTGGTGGATTGGTCCTCTTGGGATTCTAATGGCCCCCGAGTAAGGTACTTCTTTTGATTACCGTTAGTTAATGAATGAGCGGCTTATACACATTGTATCATTTTACACAACAATCACTATTTTTTTGTTTCTCTGATTAATTACCAAAGATAGAAATATACTTCAAAAATATTTATCGTCCATTAATCAATAATAAATGTCTAAAAATAAAAACAAAACATTCTAAGTAAAAACCATTTCTTCCTCCAAAATCCCTTACCTCCCAAAACTAAACAAACACAACAAACCACCCTAAATTTAAAATCCTGTTTTCTTAAATTAAACCTCTTCCTTCACCAATATAATCTCTTTCTTACAACCCCATTCCAAAAAGAAAACTAGAAACCCCAAGAAAAAAAGAAAGAAAGAAAGATGGATCATATAACAAGAATGATCCTTGTCCTAACCCTAGTTGTAATGTCCGTATGGGGTTCGGACGCATCAGCAATGCAAAAGACGAAATTCGACGCACCGCTTCTAACTGAAAAAATCGCAACAAATAGATCGATAATTGTTGATATCGAAGGCAAAGGAGACTACACTTCGGTTCAAAAAGCCATCGATGCTGTCCCTGTTGGTAACTCCAATTGGATCATCGTCCATGTCCGTAAAGGAATCTACAAGTATGTATACTTTTAAGAGGTTTAACCATTTATATTATTCGATATGCCTAAGCCATGCTAGCTATGTGTTAGTAAACTAATAGCTCTTGACTCTTGTCATCAAACACTCGATTTTTGCTATACAATTATGGATTTATGTAATTAATTAGGACATTTCTGATTTTGAATTTGTTGATTTATATAGGGAGAGGGTGCACATTCCGGAGAATAAGCCGTTCATATTCATGAGGGGTAATGGAAAAGGAAAGACGGTGATCGAATCTTCGCAAAGTTCGGTTGACAATGTTGCTTCAGCCACTTTCAAAGTCGAAGCTAATCACTTTGTCGCTTTTGGTATCAGCATCAGAGTACGTATAATAATGTAGATTTTCAACTTTTGTTTTCTTTTAAAATTATGTCAATTAATGACATCTGTGTGATGAATATACAGAATGATGCACCAATCGGAATGGCATTCACGTCGGAGAACCAATCGGTGGCAGCGTTTGTGGCTGCTGACAAAGTAGCATTTTACCATTGTGCGTTCTACAGCTTACACAACACTTTGTTTGATAACAAAGGTAGACATTACTACCATGAGTGTTACATCCAAGGCTCCATCGACTTCATCTTCGGTCGCGCAACTTCCATTTTCAACGTGCGTATTTCCTCACTATACACATTCTCCAAAACATTAGCATAAAAGAAAATTAATTCCAAATATTGTTACAGAATTGTGAGATATTTGTGATATCGGACAAGAGGGTGAAACCGTACGGATCAATCACAGCACACCATAGGGAAAACGCAGAGGAAAATACTGGTTACGTGTTCATAAGAGGCAAAGTGTACGGAATTGATGAGGTTTACTTGGGCCGAGCCAAAGGACCTTATTCCCGAGTCATCTTTGCCAAGACTTACTTGTCCAAGACCGTTGTGCCTGATGGTTGGACCAACTGGAGTTACCACGGCTCAACCGAGTTAGTCCTTTATCAACTTTTTAAACCTAATCTAGACAAGTTATTAATTAATAAACTAATATTCTTGAAATTTGATCGATCAGGAATTTATACCATGGGGAGTATAAATGTCATGGACCAGGAGCTGAGAGGCAAAAAAGATCTGATTGGGCCAAAGAGCTAACTAAACAAGAAGTTGAGTCTTTCTTGTCCATTGATTTTATTGATGGCACTTCTTGGCTCCCTGTTTGGCTTCAGCAAAAGTCTTAGAATTCCTTATGCTGTCGCGTTTGGCTTTTGGCATTTCGCGTTTTGGTGTGGCTTGGAAAAAAAAAACAACATACGAAGAAAGAAGAGTATTTCATCTTTTCTTCGACGGTATACTATACGAAATAGTTTTCTCTTATTTTTTTTTGTACTTCTACTCTAAAATGTTCTTAGAGTGATTGGAAACTCTTATGCTGTTTGCAAACATTATATAAGATGGTTTCCGTTTTAATAACATATGTAACCTAAAGTTGAAATCATATAAATTAAAAATATTTTCCCGAACGATTAGAGAATAAATGTTGCAAACGAAAGTGAATATTGGTAAATGGTTTTAAAAATTTAAGTATAGTTTTTCATACATAGTAAAGCGCAAATTAAGGAATATAAAATATGATATACTTTTCTTTTCGTATGACTTGGTACATAAGTAACTAGCCCTAGCTTAGTTCAAGCCAAGAATAGATTTGGTATGAACAATGTATGAACAATTACTGGAATTTAAAATCCACCACCAGAACCACCACCACCACCGAATCCTCCACCAGCACCTCCGCCAGCTCCTTCACCAAAGCCTCCGCCCGATCCTCCACCAAATCCTCCGCCAACACCTCCACCGTGACCTCCGCCTGCACCACCACCACCACCAAATCCTCCACCAGCTCCTCCACCAACACCTCCTCCTGCACCACCGCCGAATCCTCCACCTGCACCTCCACCAGCACCGCCGCCAGCTCCCCCACCAAATCCGCCTCCGGCACCTCCGCCAGCACCGCCGCCTAATCCCCCACCAGCACCACCTCCAATTCCTCCACCGGCACCTCCTCCAGCACCACCACCAATACCTCCACCAGAACCTCCTCCGGCACCACCACCAATACCTCCGCCAGAACCTCCTCCGGCACCACCACCAATACCTCCGCCGTGAACCTCCTCCGGCACCACCACCAATACCTCCGCCGTGGCCTCCACCAGCACCTCCTCCGAGTCCTCCACCAGCACCTCCTCCGGCACCACCACCAATACCTCCGCCGTGGCCTCCTCCTAGACCACCACCTCCTCCTGCACCACCACCACTACCTCCACCAGCACCTCCTCCTAGACCACCACCAGCACCTCCTCCGGCACCACCACCAATACCTCCACCAGCACCTCCTCCAGCACCACCACCAATACCTCCTCCTCCAGCACCACCACCTATACCTCCACCGTGGCCTCCACCAATGCCACCTCCTAAACCACCACCATGGCCTCCACCTATACCACCACCAAAACCTCCACCGGCACCTCCACCGCCACCAATTCCTCCGCCAAAACCTTTCCCACCACCAAAGCCACCGCCAAGTCCACCACCACCACCTCCTAATGTCTCCTTCTCAAACCTCCTACTCTCCACAATTCCAATCACCGCCACTACAAGCATCAAACCCAAAAACCCAAACGATACTTTCCCCATATCTTTTAAATAAGTGTTGTAGTATCGTGTGATTCAGTATACAATTGTTGTAGCTCACTTGACTAAGCCGCTAACACTATATATAGTAAGTACAAAGAACATTTATGAGATATGGTTGAGAGACCTTCAAGCTCTTTTTTCATACCGCGTTTCTCCGCATGTTCTCATGTCCCAATCTTTCATGTTCAAATTTTCTACGAAGCAATTAATGAGTGACACCAAGTGCCTCTTTTTATATTAATCTCCCTCTATTCCTATCATAAACTGTCATCCTTTATTTAATTCCATGTGCGCCTCTAGTTTACGTACTGAATATTGAATACAGCTTATAAGTTGTAGGCTTGTAGCGACACTCTCTCCTTTTGTTCGTATTATTTATACTCTAATGTGTTTTCTAACCAATTGAATTGATGAAATAAGGACTTTTGTAGAATAAGAACGTGCAGAGAAAACTCAAAACAAATACTAGCTTGATCAGGAGACACTGTGGGGGAAGGTGAGGATGTGTAATGAAATTTAAGAATATCGTACTCTTTTACATTTAGAGCTTCTCAACTACTTTGGATTTGGTAGCCACATTCAATGCAGAACTCCCACACTATCATTTTCATTATTCGCTCTAGCAAGTGAGTCTACGAATATAAGAGCACCCTTATCCATGGACTCTTAGATGAATCTTAGCCAAATCTTAAGCTAAGATTTGTGAAGAAAGAACTCTTATATAAGAGCTTTTAGGTTTATATTTAAGCTTTTTCTTCACAAATCTTACCTTAAGATTTGGCTAAGAACCCATGGATAATGGTGGTCTTATGCCCTTATTTGACTTATGCATAAGAAAACAAAAATTGTAAGAAAAATATTAATGGTATATATCTATAGTGTAGTTTTGAACCCATGATAAAAACTTCTGTAAAATAAATTGACCACAATCGTCCTGTGTAGTAAGTAAATGTATCATTTATTAAAAAAAATAAAAAAATGTATCATTTATTTACATTTCCTCTTCTTCGTCGTTGTTTCTGTTTCCCTTATGTAATCATCTAGATCATTTTTTTTTATATAAAGAACCATCTAGATCATATTCAAATCATAAGTCAACGTTTATTTTTTTTTCCGAAAGATTTCATGAGAAATACACACGGTCGCCTTCGAGTAACAGTTTGTTTCCGACATTATTTGCTTTTTTTTTTCCGGAGCGGAACGCCATAAGTTTTTGCTAAACATAACTGTGTATCTATGTTATGGCTGCTTTGCATATCAAACATGTTAGATACGTAACTTATGTTTCGGTCGTCGACAAAAAAAGGAAGAAGTTATGTTTCGGTCCACTTTGATACGTCGTATCAATCATTAATTTGCATAATCCACACATTGTACTTAATTATACATGATGCATTTTGCATTCCGTTTTATTGAATATCTCACAGCTGGTTTTTGACAACTTTTATAGTTGTGTAAGCCTTAGCTTTCGTTGATACGCAAAGACTTTGCACCAAAGCATGATTTTTTCTTTTGAGTCCTAAACGCAAAACTTGAATTATAGATAGTTCAATAATACCATATTTGTCATGTGTCATCGTTATAACTTATATGCAGTCTCTGGTGGAAATTTTCTTACTCTCAAGCATTTCAGTTATTTTCCAACCTCTTGTTTTGGTCTTAAATCTGACGTGATATGATTGGATGACTACGAACTTAATCATGCACCTATCCACACCAGAGTGCTACTGACTCTTTGGCTAAGAATCTCCCTCTAAGCATCAAACCACTAAGAGATTACCACGTGTCACTGAAATCCAGTTCAGCTAAGCCATTCAAAAACTTTAGCAACGTGGCCAGTTATTGCACAGTAGTATTCTCCGGTGAATTACCAAATCACCCTTAATGTAACATTACAATAGACATAAAACATGAGATTAATATAAGGGTAACATCGTACTTTTCGTGACCATCATTCTTCTTCCCCGAGCCCGCCTGGCTTCTCCGTTTCTCTTCCATGAAAGCTCACAAACGGTTTTATCAGTTAACGCTTTTCTGAACAATGCACTTCTTCATAGTGCCGAATTCTTCGTCTTCATCTCCTTCTCCGGCAAATACTTCTTCATTCTCTCTATTGTTTCTCGCTCCTTCTCAAATTCCTGAGAATCTCTGTAAATTGCCGGCGAAGATCCATATCGGAACTCATGGAATCTCCGGTAAATCGTTTCTCACACATCCTACGTTCTCATCTAAGAACACGACTCTGTATGCAGTCGTCGACAGGTCTTCTTCAGGTGTATTTTCGTCACAAAATGAATCTGCCAATGGCGAAGGAGGGGAATCTAACACGGAGGGAGTATTAGTAGTTCGACGGCCGTCGTTGGAGAATTCCGATAAGGAATCTAGTGAGGAAGAGGGAAAAAAGTATCCAGCGAGGATTGATGCTGGTCTGAGTAATATAGCTAAGAAGATGCCGATGTTTGAGCCGGAGAGATCGGAGTCGTCATCGTCGACGTCCGCCGCCGCTGCTGCAAGTGCTCAAGAGAGGCCGCTTGCCGTGAATTTGGACTTATCTCTGTACAAAGCAAAGGTTTTGGCGAGGAATTTCAGATACAAAGACGCCGAGAAGATTCTGGAGAAGGTAACATCGCTTTCTTCTGCCGTTTGATCAGGATCATTCAGTATATGATCATGCAATTCTGATTGTTCCAACAGTCAATGCGTAGGATGAAATTAGAGAATGGTTCTCAGATTTTTAATGACTCTTTGTATAGTTTAGCTTCTTGATGAGTATCATCGAATCATCTGTAGATTTACCATTGAAAAGAGAAGTTAATGTAGACGTCTACTGAAACTAATCCTGCCATGTTTGGTTTTAAGTGCATAGCTTACTGGCCGGAGGATGGGAGACCGTACGTGGCATTGGGGAAGATACTAATCAAACAATCGAAGCTAGCAGAAGCTCGAATTGTGTATGAGAAAGGGTGTCAATCTACACAAGGAGAGAATGCATACATTTGGCAGGTGCTGCATGGCTTTTTATTTGATTTTGACATGAGTTCTGAAGGAATTTGCTTGATACACTTGAAGGCAATTTTTTGTTTCTCATGCATATCATGTACCTGTCTCCTTTGGAACAGTGTTGGGCTGTCCTGGAAAACAGGTTGGGAAATGTAAGAAGAGCCAGAGAGTTGTTTGATGCAGCCACGGTGGCTGACAAGAAGCATGTAGCAGCCTGGCATGGATGGGCAAACCTGGAGATAAAACAAGGAAATATTAGTAAAGCGAGGAATCTCCTAGCCAAAGGCCTCAAGTTCTGTGGCCGTAACGAGTATATCTACCAAACACTTGCCTTGTTGGAGGCCAAAGCTGCCCGGTATGAACAGGCAAGGTACCTGTTCAAGCAGGCCACCATATGCAATTCGAAGAGCTGTGCCAGTTGGTTGGTAAGTGTTTGCATCATCAGACATGTTTGTGATAAAAGCTAGGACTATGCCATTCCGTAAAGTTGCATCCTAGGATTAATCTTCTTAGATAATTTTGTTATAAGGGAATGCTACTCAGCTACTGCCATTTTAAATGAAACAAAATTCTGGCCTCCCCTGTCTTTTCCTGATCAGTCACAGGATTTAGTTTCTAAAGGTGGCTTGTATTTAGAGGTTAAAAAATGTTCTACATGAGCTTCTCTTTTCTTACTACATGTTCATTTTTATGAACAGGCATGGGCACAGTTGGAGATACAGCAGGAAAGATACCCAGCTGCTAGAAAGCTTTTTGAGGTAACTGCTACATCCTTTTTTCTATTTCCCATTCACAGTGAGGTCAACGTAGTGAAGGCCGTATATTCATCCCAGTAATGACTTAGTGGCTGTTAAGCAATTGAGCTACATATGAAAGTTTCAGGCTCTGATCGCGCATTTCTTTTTTTCACAGAAAGCTGTCCAGGCAAGCCCCAAGAATAGGTTTGCGTGGCACGTATGGGGGGTGTTTGAAGCTGGAGTAGGTAATGTTGAGCGTGGAAGAAAGCTCCTGAAGATAGGTCATGCGCTAAATCCTAGAGACCCTGTTCTCCTTCAGTCCCTTGGCTTACTGGAGTACAAGCATTCATCTGCTAATCTTGCCCGGGCTTTACTAAGGAGAGCATCAGAGGTTGATCCTAGACATCAACCTGTTTGGATTGTAAGTATACAAGATTCAAATTTGTTGCTTTTTACATGATCGATCTGCTCAAATAGTTTTGGTTTATACGTTTTCCTTAAGTTTGAGCTTTAGATTTTTGCTGATAGTTGTTTACTCCTTTTTATTGGTTTTAAGTTGTAAATAAACTTAAACATTTACTTAGTAGACCTTGGTTTTACCCAGTTCTATCTAGCTAGCAAATTCAAGAGTCTTTATAATCGTGTATGGAAAGGGAAAATGAAATGATTGGTGAAAGTGTATTCCGGTTTAGGCTTGGGGTTGGATGGAATGGAAAGAAGGAAACACAACAACAGCTAGAGAACTTTACCTAAGAGCTCTCTCCATTGATGCAAATACCGAAAGTGCTGCTCGTTGTCTACAGGTATAACTAATAAATTCTTTCATTTGCAACTTTGTGGTCCTCTCAGCGAATGAACTTAAAGATTGTAAACACGAGGGAATAAGACTTATAAGCCAAAAACTTGCTGAATTATAAATTAGCTGGCAAGTTTGCTAAAACATTAGCATATTATTTGGAGGATGCTGAAACAAATTCTTTGTCTCTACAGGCGTGGGGAGTTCTCGAGCAGAGTGCAGGAAACTTATCAGCAGCTAGAAGATTATTTCGATCTTCACTGAACATCAACTCACAAAGCTACGTTACGTGGATGACATGGGCACAACTAGAGGAAGATCAAGGAGACTCCGAACGTGCTGAAGAAATCCGTAACCTCTATTTCCAACAAGTAAGCTCTTGTGCACATTCTTGACTTCTTGCAGGATCTTCTAGTAGAGTTTATATTAATCAGCTCTTCATTGCAAAACAGCGTACCGAGGTTGTTGATGATGCTTCGTGGGTCACAGGATTCTTGGATATCATTGACCCGGCTTTAGACACTGTTAAAAGGCTCTTGAACTTTGGTCAAAACAATGATAACAACAGGTTAACTACTACTCTTAGAAACATGAATGGAACCAAAGATAGCCAATCCAATCAGCAACCCGAGAGCTCAGTGGGACGCGAGGACACTGAAACTGGGAGCGGATTTAACCTCGATGCATTTTTACGCGAGAAGCTCTCGTTGGATCCTACGAAGCTGGACGTTAACCTTGATTCTAAGAAGTTAGATAGATTCACTAGAGGGAGAATAAATGGTGCTTGAAAAAATATGAGGGGATATTTATTGAGGCAGTGTAAAGATGAAGGGTCAAATGTATAATAATTTTGAAGAATTATAAGGTAGCAAATTGTTAGGGAAAATCACATTTTAAATCTTTAAAGTGGCACTGTTTAAAACTTTAAACCTCGATATATTTTCACTAGCACTATAAACCTCCAAATTAATTTTACTAACATTTTAAACCACCAAATTAAATTTTCTGTTTGTGTCGCCCTAAAAAATAACGGAATAGTAACTCCGTCAACGGAAAAATTAATCCTGTCAACAAAAAAGTAAAACGTATATTTTCTTTATAAAAATAAAGTAAAACGTGTTTACAAAAAAAAATCATTAGTACCACTTCCTATAATCGTTGTCTAACGTTTTAAAAATTCAATATCCTCAAATCAATTTGGGATTTAGGATTTCTATGTTTGAAGAACAAGAACATAAGTGTAATATGAATCCAAACAAAACATTGCACATGGGCTAAGAATACAAAATCCTCTCCGATTTGATTTTCATTATATGAATCCAAAGTCAATCGCTCAATATATGATTTTTAATGAATCGATACCACAAAACCACTCTCTCACTCTTCTTCTTCTATTCTGGGTTTGGATTTCACTTCTTCAATTTCACTCTCTCACTCTTCTTCTTGTATTTTGGCTTTTGATTTAGAATTGTAACTCGATTTGGGGATTTTGCTTTTTTTGGGACAAACAGAAAAATGACAATTTTTTTAAATACGTTTTATATTTTGACGTTTAAAAAGAAAGAAACATATTTTACTTTTCCGTTGACGGGGTTAAATTTTTCGTTGACGGAGTTACTATTCCGTTATCTTTTAGTGCGACACAAACAAAAAACTTAACTTGGAGGTTTAAAATGTTAGTAAAATTAATATGAAGGTATATAGTGCTAGTGAAAATATATCGAGGTTTAAAGTGCTATCTAGTATTACTTTGAATGTTAAAAATGAGATTTTCCCCAAATTGTTATAAGTTTAAAAAAGTTTTTGGAAGATTCTCACTTATTGGGTGACGAATTGATTTCGAGGAAAATTGTCTATTTCATTTTATTTTTTAAAATTAAATTCCCCGCGAAAGCACAAAAGTACTGAATTCCTCCTGATAAACCCCGGCAATTTCAGTAACGTCAAATCTAGGGTTTTGAATTGGGCATTCGAGCTCCGATGGGGGATTCAAACGGAGCATCGCTCATTGAAATTGATGACCAGGAAGAAGTAGAAGATCCATTTCTGGCTTTCATCGACTACGCCAGAACTATAATTTCACCGGAAGAAGACGAAGATGAGAAGGACGAGAGCAAGAGGGATCCCAGCGAAGCCATGACTGAGGCAGGTGGTCCCGGTTGGGGCTGGGTCGCCTCGCGTATTCTGAAAACCTGTACCGCTTATTCGAGCGGTGTCACTGCCGCAATTCTGTTGTCTGATCTCTCTCAGGTAATGCTATCTCACTCATACTTCGATTTTGATCAGTGTATTGCTTTGGCTTTGTTATTGAGCCTGTTAATGTGGTGATTGTGTACTCGATTCTGGATGTTTTATCCGCTTAATCTTGAATGTTTCTTGTTGTAGGCATGGCATGAGCAAAACAAACCAGGAATGTCAAAGAAGAAGCCGGAACTCATAGATCAGTTGAAGAAGAGTCACAGAAGAAGAAGACTCGCTAATACTGTCACAATAGACTCGATTTATGAGAAGAACTTTTTGTCCATGAACAGCGTTTTGGAAGCTGTTATTATCAATGCTGATGTTCTTCCTGGTAATTAACAAATCCTGACAGCATTTTCATTGCCACTTCCATACTATGCCAAGTTGGTGGTTTATTCATTTAAACATAAATACTTTTTCAGGTACAAACATATTCATGCTTACACTAGGGGATTTTTGGAGCTCCAACACCATTGATCTCTATCTACATCGCAGGTATGCTTATTGAATAGAGATCAATTATCATCATCTCGGATTGAGATAAGTTTGACTGCTTGTTTATGATGTTTGTATATAGATTCTTATAAGCATAGCATCTAATGCCTCTTGTGTAGGTATTATGAGTTGGTGGAAACACCAAATGGGATTCTTCGGAAAGGCAGAGAGGTTTTGATCACTGGATGCTACCTTCGTACCGCGAGAGAAGGATTCGGCACTCCACGGTTACTTCCAACAGAGTATCTTGTCGTATTACTAGATGAGGTTTGGTTCTTGACAATCTTTTGAAAGAGAAATTAGAGCTGCAGTATTGGGTTTGCATGTAGTTAGTTCTAACACATCACATTTTTTATATGAAATTTCAAACACTGCAGGACCAAGATGATGATGCAATCCTCATAGCAGCTCAATTTTTTTCCGATACTTTCTCATCTGTTTCTCTTGATTCTTTCAACGATGGAACTTCATACTCTCTGTATGCTAGGTAAGCGAGTAAGTGGGTGTGATATCACTTAATACCGGTCTTGGTAAAAGTAACTTACTATTCATATTCCTAGTTGCAAACACGTTCCAGAAACTTCAAACACTAGTACATTGATCAAAGTTATCAGATCAAAACCTTTTGGAAGTAATGAGTATCATTCCAAGTGTTGTGATTTCATAGTAAAATTGTAGAAATATGCGTAAAGTACCCCATAACAAGAGTATATGTTTTGAGAAATTGAGTGGTTACCATGACTTAACTTCTATTGCTGTTATTTCTGAAGTAATATTTCATTTTCCCTTCTTGGTTTGAGAGCAGGATTGAATCTATAGGTCCTCTGGAATCTGAACTCACGTTTAGTACTGCACATAGAAGGCAAATTTCACTTGTAGATGGTGATGGCGATAGGTTGAAATTTATCTTGTGGGGAGAGCAAGTCATTGTGGCAAACCTTTTAAGGTAAGCTCCTGGCTGGGTGCTTCTACCTTACATTTTTCTACCAACCCCTTCTTACTGATTCATTTTCAGTGTGGGAAGTTTTCTTGGGCTTGAGAGGCCTTATATTTCTAGTCTCGAAGAGAGTGCAATGGAAGGAAAGGATGAGTTCTGCCTTGAATATGGTAGCGCAACACATCTCTATCTAGTGCCATCAACCTTACAAGAGGAACGGGTAGATGAAGTTTTTTTGTTGCTCCTTTTTTTCAGGTTCAGCTTTTTGCATTGATTTTTGATGTCACCAATGTGGAGTGATTTGTTTTTCTCTTCAGGTTTGTGTAGCATTGTCACAACATCAGTGTCAAGGATCTAAACTGCTTGGTTCAGTCGGAGTTTCGCAGGTGACATTGCCTCGTGACGCCGATGGGTCTATAGACTTCAGTAATTATCCTTTTCGGGTGAGTAGAAGTTAAGATACCATTTTATTCAAGCATGATAGTAACTGATGGTTATGGTAATTGATATTTGTAAAGTTGTCAGAGGCTAATGTCATGGTTGGGATGTTTGTATGGAAGTGTGACAGTATCTTTTAAATGTATATCAATTAATCATGAGACTAGTTGGTGGCTTATCTTTCTCCCTTTGTTTAGAAATCCGGTAATAGGGTAGGTTCTTCCACAATTCCGTGTTAATGGGTTCCCACTGAATCTAGGTTCATATCATTACAAATCCTATTCATGTGTTTATTGGTTTTTCTTTTCATAGCACCAAAATGCATTCATATGTCTTACATCTTTTGCTTGTATATGACTTGTGCACACAATATCATCTCTGTTTGAAATTCACAGCCTTGTAGGTCTAGCAACTTAGGGAAAGAAACCAATGCTTGAAGAGATTATATATTATTCAGATCATACGTAAAGCCTGCTCTAGCTATTATTTGAGAATCTATTTCTTAGCTGTATCTGCTAATATTCCTCTCCTTGGTTGAAGTTCTGCAGACGATAATAACGGACATTCGCGACAAAACCACTGGCATCAGTCTTTATGGGGTTGTCACAGACATTTCATGTGATCCAAATGCAACAGGAGTGGTCTATTCTTTGAAGATTGAGGACACAACTGGAGCAATATGGGCTAAGCTCCATTTTACCAATTACTGGTATAAAAGTGTTTCATGAAACGACTTCTGAGCAGCAATTGAAAGCCTGGAATATTCTGTTTAATGAGCTGTTTATGTTTATGGTTTCCAGGTCGGTGGGAAGGTTAGGGCTTGGTCATGTCGTGTACGTGTCTGGGTTATCGTGCAAAATCACAAAAGAGAATTAGTAAGCCGTCTCTCTTGCTTTGAAACTGATAGCTATGTGCCTATGCTCATGCATCACTACTGGGAAACTGATTTAGCTCAAACATGAATTGAATACTTATCAATAAGTATCAGTAGCCAGTAGGTATTGGTTTATTGCTTTAGCTTAATAAACATTAATGGAATTCTTGTTTTTGGTTGAGCAGTCTTGAGGTGTTATGGCATGAAAAGGACGAGAAAGCTACATTCGTGAACCTTAGCTGCTTGCCTGCATTTCTGACCTCTTCTTGCCTTCACAAAATCTCTACTCTCTCCCAAATTTCAAAACAGAGAAAACCTGCAATAAACGTATGTCTCACTTTCTAAATGATTTGCAGAGCTTTATGTGTTATTTCATTTGTACACCTCACTCATTCATGTGTTATTTGGGACAGATTTGTCGGATTAAGCTGGATAAGATCGACCAATGCCATAACATTAACACTAGATTAGCTCATAGCCTTTGCGGCCATTTCATAGACGAAGAATCATCATCATCATCATCATCATCATCACTGCATTGCAGTTTCTGCCGAGTAAGCTGCAACAATAACACAGGATCAGAAGTAGTGAGAACATTCCACATAACGATAACACTTGCAGACGAGGAAACCAGACTATACGCGTGGTGTACTGGTCAGTCCGCAGCAGCTATACTTCAGATATCTCCTGATGAATTCTATGACCTCCCTGAGGTAACAAAACAAATCATTCATATATGATTTGGTTATAAAAGTAGTTAAATTATGGCGGTAAAATGAATGAATAAAAGAAGCAATGTAAAATTGGTGCAGGATGATCGGCTAATGTATCCGTCATTGGAGAACGAGTGGTTTCTAGTGACCTTAGCAAACAGCGGTAGCCGGAATTCGGGTCCCGGTCATGAGACGGAGGCCACTTGCTGGGAAATCACACGCGCTCTCAAGATTTAAAAGCTACCTACCTATTTTTAATTTTCTTTTTTCTTAAAAATGATTAGTTGAAAAAAACAGAATCTGACCGTGTTAAAATATTAAATTAGTGGGGAGACTGTCTGGATAAAGAACGTGAATGTCTGTTTTGTCTTTTTTTTTTTTTTTTTGCTTTGGTCCGTGTTGAAAAAATGGGTGGGCCCAGACTCCACCCTTATCTTGTCCGTTAGATTTGCGCATCCACTGTTTTTGTGAGCTGTTTTAATTCTAAGGCTGCGATCGGTCGTGGACTCCATCCAACGGTCAGGATGTTTTTAGATCGTTAGACAGCGTTACAGTGAATAATTCTAATTATCAATCGTTGATTTCAATCTCCATTTAGTCTATAGTCCTTCCTCACAAGAAACTATTTGTCTTCGAGAGAGAGAGAGAGAGAGAGAGTTATGGCGGAGAGTGGTGGACGGAGGATCGGAGTGGCGGTGGATTTCTCGGAGTGTAGCAAGAAGGCTCTGAGCTGGGCGATAGATAACGTGGTTCGCGACGGAGATCATCTAATCCTAATCACCATCGCTAACGATATGAATTACGAGGAAGGCGAGATGCAGCTCTGGGAGACTGTTGGATCACGTACCTTCTTAATCTCTCTCTCTCTCACAAACTCCTTTTTCCCCTTATATTGTTTTCCTGAAAACGTGATAGAGAAGTAGTGTGCGATCGCTGATGATGTATATATGATTCTTCGCTTTGTCTGATCTTGCAAACCTGTATTGAAGGAACCTGACCTTACTCATGCATCGTTTGATCTACAATTTGATTCTCTGTGATTTGCTTGTTTAAATTTGGAAAGAATCTATTTCAAGTAGTAGTTGATCGTGTTTTGCTCATGGACATGGTCATCTTAATTCTTTCTCAAGTTTATGGTTTGAATTCCTACAAATGATCTTGTTGTTGTTTGACTCTGGTTTCTTGATTGTAACTCTTCAGCTTTTATTCCTCTGAGTGAATTCTCTGATGCTGCTGTGATGAAGAAGTATGCAGTGAAGCCAGATGCTGAAACTCTTGACATTGTCAACACTGCCGCTAGGAAGAAAACGGTAATGGTTCTTCTTATGTCCCTCGTTTGAAAGAATAATGCATAAAACCTGTCCGCAACTTTAAACACTTTTATGCTTAGAGAGTTATACTTTACTAATAAGGTTCACATAAGTTATGTGACATAACAACACCTGAATTTGAATATCAAGATTTTGATTCCAAAAGGTGGTGATCTTCCACTTGCGGATAGTTTATGAATACGCATCAGTAAAGAGTACCCATAACTTGTACCAAACAATTGTCTATCTCTTCTGGTGTTCTAGAAAAAATTAATTTGAGGAGTGGTGGGACTATACTCTATTGAATAACCTGTAATTGTACTGATATAGAATATGTTACACACCTATCATAGTATTATTCAGAAGTTCTTTGAATGCTTAATGTTGCATTGTGAGCTGTGTGACCAAGAAAAAAACATTGTCAACTCAATTCATATGAATGAGACTTTCTTTACAACAAGTGTTTGGTTTTGTGTTAAACGATGATACAACTATTGTGAAACATGTGCAGGTTACAGTAGTGATGAAGATATATTGGGGAGATCCTCGTGAGAAGATTTGTGCAGCAGCTGAACAGATTCCTCTCTCAAGCCTTGTGATGGGTAACAGAGGCCTTGGTGGTCTTAAGAGGATGATTATGGGAAGTGTAAGCAACCATGTGGTCAACAACGTTGCATGCCCTGTGACCGTTGTCAAGGCTCACACCTGAGTTTGCTCGGGGAACTCTAAATAACACCACCGTATATTCTGTGATTTGTGTTTGTGGTCGAAATTTGTATTGTTAACTGTTGTGTGACTGGGGTATTGTTCATCTGTATGGGTAAAAACACTTCACCTTCTAATAAATACAGACTCTTGTGAGTTTTGGAAAAAACTCCAATCATGTCAATGTGTTTTTTTTTTTTTTTTTTTTTTAAATCATTATGATTCAATTCGAGCATGCTTTCACTTGTCAATGCCAAAGGAAACGATAGATAGATTTGCATAACAATCTTAAAACAAAGTTCAGGACATTAGTAGTTCTACAGAAAATACAAGCTAAAGAGTTTCAGGGAAATTAACAAATACACATAAAACAGAACAAATGTCTCCATAGATAAGAAAGCACAAGACACTTAATATTCATTCCTCAATCGATCATGTAGTGATCAATCTCATCTCTGGTCTTCTTGGAGGTAAGAAGGACAAACTCGAAGGGTTTGATGAGCTTGAAGGTGCATTTGTCACCAACCATTAAAGGATACTCTCTTGCCAATTTTGAGTATCCACCTGAGAAGATTGTCCTAATCTCCCTCACCAAGCAGAGCACCTTCCATGAACCAATCCCATTCGGGTGACGAACCGTGAAAAACTTAGACTTATTCGGGATATGATCATCCACAAAATGTTTTGGGATTGCCTGAAATATGAAAACCAGAGACTATCATTATCACAAATACAGAGACTGTGTTCTTCTTTTGGTTCTGTCTTTTGATTTGAATCTTACCAGGAACTTGAGGTATGATTTCCTTATGGTGATTTTGAATTCTGGAACACCATTCAGCACTTCTTTGCTCTTACTCTTGCTCTTGCTCTTCTTCTTCTTCTTGGATGTATTGTAACCCTCAGCTTTCTTCTTCCTAGCTTTGAGCTCACTTCTTCGAGAAGATTCACCTGTTTCCACACCATTCTTCACTTTCTTTCTCTCCATCTTCTTCTTGGATGATTTGGATTCCTCAGTCTTCCTCTTTCTAACTACGAACTCAGCTCGTCCCGCGGATTCATCAGTTTCCTCTTCCTTCTTCACATCTTTGAAGCTACTCTCTCCTTCTTTCTTGATCCCACCTGTATTCATCATCAAAGTAAGAGAATTAGTCTTCTTCTTTCTCCATCTTCTCTGTTTCATAAAGCATTAAAAGCACAGAGGCTTACTAGAAGAATCCATTGTCTGGAATTTTCGAGGTGTGAGCATCTCTACACCATTCTGCTCGTAGATGTTGACATGAAAGACCATATTTCCTCTGTGAGTGAAGGTAATGAACTCGTTTTCTCCTAAAGCATTGTCACTCACAAACTGATCCCATCCACGCCTCTCAATGTAGTAGTATCTCGGGTTCTTGGAGATTTCTAGATGCCATGTCTTTCCCCATTGCGCTCTTATCACCATCTTGTAAGAGAAGTCTTTCCTTGAGAGTCTACTTATGAAGCTGTAAGAAAACGCTCTCTGGTTTGAACAAAACAATGAAGAGTGTTAACAAATAGTTAAAAAAACTTTATGTCTCAAGCACTTGAAAGCAAAAGTTTCAATCTTTCACCTCTAGTCATCAAACCTACCATCAAGAAATCGATAAAAGCAAAGAGAAAGATCTGGCCATAGAGACAGAGAAGCAACAAACTTTATGTTCTTGAGGGACAGAGAAGAAAAGAGTGAACAAAAGAAGACACTTCCTTAATATGGAAAGCAGTGGAAAGATTCAACCTTTCATTAAACACATACAACCAAATGATTCTACCTTCTAAACAAAGCTAGCAAGATTAAACTCTTAAAGCACAGAGAACCTAAAGATTTAACAGTTGAGGCCCATAAAAAATCAGAGAAAGAACAGACTCAACGTTTCATACACGTAGAACAAAGACAACTAGAAGATTCTACCATACAAAGCTAACAAGATTTAACTTTTAAAACACAGTGAACTCAAAGATTCAGCCCTTGAGACCCACAAAACACAGAGAGAAACAACAGATTCAACGTTTCAGACATGGAGAACATAAAGATTCAGAGATTTTAACAGATATAACCTTTCATTTAACAAAGAAAACCAAAAGATTCTACCATTTAACAAAGCTAACAAGATTTTAACTTTTCAAACACAGAGAACCTAAAGATTCAACCCTTGAAACCCATTAAACAACAAAGAAAGAGAACGTAAAAGATTCAGAGGAAAAACAGATGCAACCTTTAAAACAAAGAGAACCAAAAGATGAAACCGTAAACTTGAAACCCATTTTTGAACACAAAGAACAAAAAGATTCCACTTTTCAAACAGAGTAATATCAAGAACAAAGTTTACCATGCATTCAGAAGATAGATCTGAACTCTGAAAAATCTTGAAAAAGCTCAACATCTTCCGTTCTTCTATAATTTTATCAAAACCAATGTTCCTTCTCCTACCCATCTCTCTTCCTTCTTCTATCTCACTCAGAAACTCTCCTTCAACTTTCTAGTACTTCTTTGTCTCTCTCTCTATCCCTATATCTCTCTCTCTCTGGTGTTATAAATGGGCAAAAGTGAGTGTATCCAAATATTTATGCTTCTTTTCATTAAAAACGAGACAAGGTTATAATTGTGAAAAAAGCAGTCGCATATAAATCAATGTGTTTATTTTTCTTATAGTAATATACAGATGAAACAATAGCTGTTATAGACTGACTTCAAAGACACGCAAAAGCAGTGTTTGCTAGTTTTAGTACCTGAGGATCCCTGAGCAATAAGGACTGATTGACTTCAAACTTGCTTCTTTTGTGTCTTGTTTTTTGCCACAATCACTATTATTATTTTCATTTCGTATTTATATTATACGATCAACTTCATTTATTAAATTTGAACCTTCGGTAACTTTTTCTCTTTTTTTTTTAACGTTGTATAGCAGTCAAAGGTCAAAGTTGATAACTTTTTCTAAACTGAAAAGTAAAAAACTAAGGTACAAGATGAGATCACATTGTCTATCACACCAAATGAATGTGTCTGATTTATAAAGAAAATACACCAAATTAATCGGTCTCTGTAATTTATAATGAAAATACACACAAATATACACCAAAGGACTCACTACATGTGTATGCATATATGATCAACACTTCTTATATTGTTAAACTTGTGAATCTTGACCATGAAATCTACTGGTTTTGAAAAATTTGGAAACTTGATGCTTATCTCAAAACATAAAAACATTTAAGACATCATGTACTCAAAATGAGAAATATTAAAGAACATATTGGAGGTAATCAACTTCTATTAACAAAAGCATCAGTGTACTGATAAAAGGTCGTCAGTGTTTAATTCCAAAATACATATTGTTAACTTCGTCACAAGCTATAGAATCTATCAACTAAGTTGCAAGACAATGTCACACACAATTATTTACCCCATTATGCACTTTAATCATATTTATAAATATTAAACAACACAACCCTATTTTCCCAATAGCAGCAGCATTGACTATCCTTCATCCATCAACTTTGACTTTTACCGTCTGGTTTGGTTTGGATCGACGTATGTTCATCAGAGTTCAAGACTGATCCATAAACCCAGCACCATAACCAGTTGATCTTATGAACTTCTTCAGAAGAAGAACTACGATAGCGATTATGAGCCCAACCGCCGCCCACGTGAAGAGTCTGTCATCGACGGGCTTCTGTGCCGTTCTTCTGGCCATCGTTTGCTCACCACTTACAGAAGCTTTGGCTGCAACCTCAACTGCTGTTAACGCTGCTGCAGCGGGAACCACATTAGCTACTGTATTGACTGCTTCAGCTGTCTCTTCTATGATTTGATCATCAACTATGGTTTCTGTTGTAGAGATGGACTGCTCCTCCACTACTGTTATGGATTCCTGTGGCTCAGCTTGGGAGTGAGCCTCTGATATGGTGGAAGATGTTTGGTTACATTCCAGAGGAAGAGGGTTTGGAACAATGGTTGCTTTGCTAAGGATGTAGTGATGAATCTGCGCTTGTTAAAAGGTCATGGTTACTATAGTTGTTCCTAATATTGAACATGAATCAGAGGTAGGAAACTCAAGTATATCAAAATACATGAAGAAAGGGTCAAGAGTTTAAACCAAAAGGCGATTGTTAACACTACTTTTGTCTAAGAACAATAATAATCGGTAAAATGGTGTTATTCCTTTAGTTAAGGACTTAAATTTTACTGTATGCAGACAATAACCGCTGTGATTGCTGTTAAATAAAGCAGAGACGCTAAGAGCAAACACTTAATCTTACCCGCTAGAGATATGCAAGCTTAATATATTCTGATGCCATTTTGACCAACAGCTATTCCTATGGTTTATAATGAAGAAATGATATAGCCGTACACAACAGGTTCAGTAAAAATCTCTGAGCGATCTCTCCAAATTCATATTTTTCAGAATATTATGCATAGTGGTTCAACATTTAAAGGGTGTCTCAGTGGGGAACTATACCTCATCAATAATTTTTTGCCGTTCAGGAGAGCCATACTTGGGTGGTGTCTCACGAGATTTAATGGCTAGTGTACGTCTCTCCTCCTTTGGATAATCTACTGAGCCCAGTGCTCCATTAGGACTTGTTGGCATGAATGCAATCAGAGCCACCAAAGCAGTCCGAACTGCAAAGAAAAAAGCTTAATCATAAGAAGAAAGAGCTGATATATAGTCAAACCTTGTGTATATTACAAGTGTCGAGTAGTCTTTTAGGAAACAACAAAAAAGTTCAGATATAAGGTCTCTTGAGACATGTTGTTGGTGGTAGGAACAAGAAAATATAAAGTATACACATCCATGAATATACCACTCCATGAAGGTTGCCAATGCTCAGGGTGGTAATTTGAAATGCTCAAGCAAATCTTGGTATTGGTTTCAAAGCGACCATTAGGCTGAAACAAAAGTACAGAGATTCATTAGCTACACATACTCTACTATTTCATTGGCAACATGTGTGTGTTTTATATGTGAAAGAAGAGTAAGATCCTTACGGTCAATAACATGAATGAAGGAGGTTTGAAAGGGTAATCTGCAGGCAGCTGAATTCTCCCATGATAAATCCCGCCCTCGAATTCAGTGTCACCTGGACCTCGGATGGCGAATTGCCACTCAAAGATATTCTCCTGAAGTTAAAAATAGATAAGAGTAATCACGTAAACTATTTGGTATCACACAAAAACTTGTAAAAAAACAGCTAATAACATTAATTGTTTTATTGAAACGAAGAACTAGTATGCAGCTGAAGTGGATAAAGGAATGGGTCATAATCTTCCTCAATTGACTCAGTTATTCCAATAAAAAAAAACCCAATAGAAAGATCCAAACTTCATCTGTTGCACGAGTGTTCAAAGTAGAGAGACTTAGTAAATTCAGTGTATACATGCAGATATCGATCCTCCCTGATCATGATCGCCTAAATCAAACACCATCACTCTTGACAGATACAAAATTACAACACAACACAGCACAACGCAAGGCTTAGAATTTCATTCTAGCTACATAACAGATCGAGCAGATTTTCAAAATTTTCAATTTCGAATTTCAGATAACCCAATCTCGAATTTAAAACACAACGAAGATTGAAAAAAAAACAAAGAGAGAAGAAAAATGAAAGTATAGATTCAATCAAAAATTCCCGATCTCAAAAGCTCGAATCATCGGAGATGTTACCTCAAGAGGAAGAGACATAAAATCATCAGAGGGATTTGCTTGCATCTCCTTAACCTCCTGCAAAATCCTCTTCACCGCCGGATTCTTCCGGTTATACCTCTCATCCGCCATCTTATCCCCGCCAGAGCTTACCGGAAATGCAATCCGCCGCCGCAGTCCGCTCGGCCCGATTCGTCTTTAACAGAAAATAATAAATACACAAATTAGAAATTCACGCAGCTTTGGGGAGGTCATTATTTACTAGGCTGATAAAATACAACACAGAAAATAATTCGAAAACATTTTCCACGTCACACTCTTTAACTACGGATACGTGACGTGAGAGAGCTTCTGAGTCATCAGGCATCTTAACGGTTCAAAGTTTGCCACGTAATCTTCGAATTTTAAAAGCGTGTCTTTTCGGCCGTCGATTTGGAAGAATCATTAAGCAATTGTGGCGAGACTTTAAGAGGCCTTGGGCCATTACTTTAAAGCCCAATAAAACGTGCACGTAACAGACAACAGAAAGACGACTCTTGAGAGAAAAGGAAGAAGCAGCAATTTCAATGGAGAAGAAACCGGAGAAGAGAGGAATGATCGACACGTGGATTGATAAGCACCGTTCGATCTATACGGCGGCTACACGTCATGCTTTTGTCGTCATGCTTTTGTCGTCTCGATTCGCGACGGATCCGTTGATCTCTCGTCCTTCAGAACTTGGCTGGTACTACTGATGAAAACAAAGCAATTCTGAAAGCAGAAATCTCTTACTCGATGAATTTAAAAAGGTGGTGTTTTTGTTGCAGGGGCAAGATTATCTGTTCGTGAGGGGATTTGTGCCGTTTGTAGCGAGTGTGTTGATCAAAGCTTGCAAAGATTCCGGCGAGAGTTCCGATATGGAAGTGGTGCTTGGTGGTTTGGCGTCGTTGAATGATGAAATTGAATGGTTTAAAAAAGAAGGAACGAAATGGGATGTTGATTTCTCGACCGTTGTGCCTCAAAATGCTAATCAAGAATATCGCAGGTATTGATTTCATATTTGTTGATGTTAATAGATTTGTTGTCACACTCGAAATTGAAATTACAAACAAGCAATAAAGCAGAATTTTTGGTTTATTCAGGTTTTTGGAAGCTCTGATGAGTAGTGAGGTGAAGTATCCAGTGATTATGACAGCTTTCTGGGCAATTGAAGCAGTGTATCAAGAGAGCTTTGCTCATTGTTTAGAAGACGGGAACAAAACTCCGGTGGAGCTTACCGGAGCTTGTCATCGGTGGGGGAATGACGGGTTTAAACAGTATTGTTTGTCTGTCAAGAACATTGCTGAACGTTGTTTGGAGAATGCATCCGGAGAGGTGCTCGTTGAAGCTGAAGATGTGCTTGTACGAGTTCTTGAACACGAGGTCGCCTTCTGGGAGATGAGCCGTGGAGGACAGTAACTAATGTTTGGCTTTGAGTTTCTCATTTCCTCTATATTCCAATGAGAAACAAGTTTCAATCTTTATATTTGGTGAAACACAAGTTGAGATTATGATTTCATAACATGACTAATAGCTCCTCATACGGATTTGTCACTGACTGGGGTAGAAGGTTGTTCCCATCATTCCACATATTACACTTACTGGTTAACTACATCAACGCCCTAAAACTCTTAAGAACTCATCAAAACATAGGTAGATGATTGAACAATTGACCGAAATGCTCTCTATTCTCTCCAGCGATGACCACAATTCGGGTTGCAGCAGACAAAGAACAGTGTCATTCCTTCTTCGCCTCTAGCCGTAGCCTGCACATTCACAGGCGGTGTTCAGAATTTGAGCATACGTTTTGGGGGAACAAACAGTGAAGATATAGCATTACCAAGTTAGTTAACTAAATAATGGAGCTTAAGATAGTTATACCTGGAAGAAGACGGCCTCGCTATGCTGACACTTAGCGCAACGCACAGCCTTGGTTCGGGGAAGAGTTGGGTCAGAAGCCACGTCAGTTAGGATCTGAGTTCGCTCACTTACAGAGTGATGAACCTCGTTTCTGTACACACAGCTGTTATCAGCTACTTCCTGCAAGTCAGTGCCCCAAAAAGTATAAATTCTGAGATGAGGACAACAAACCCACTTACATGATCTAATCTCTAAATTTGTAACAACAAGGATGAAAATGCAGCTTTAAAATGTCAATAAACTACTCAGATTGTGTAATCAATACGCTAATTCATTCCGTAAGCTAAAAGAGGCCCTTCAAGTATGCATATAACTCTCATGAACCCAACACACAAAGACAAATAGAGAGGTTGGTGAAACTAAGGAACCCCAATTGGGAACTAGGAGCATTAAAGGAGATAAAATCAGGATATGGTTTTACTTAAGTCTCTTAATTGCTACTAAGTCCCACTCACAATTTTGTGCACTACAGTCAACACTAAAAACCCTAATTTTTCCACACAAAAAAGTACAAATGACCAAAAGCTATACCTGGTGATCACAATTACGGCAAGCGTAGAGCAGGATCTTCTGCTCCTTGTCCTCCTTAGGATACAGAATGTTGTTACTGAACCAAAATCAAACACAAACAACAATGCAATTAAAGAAGGACCCATAAACAAAATTCGAATAAAGGTAGGAGCTTTATGCGAATTGACACCTTATAAACCATGGATGATTCAAACGAGGAAGAAAGACATCATAAGTAAACAACAAAAACTCAAAATTTCATGCAAATTTCGAAACTTTGAAAAAACCTAGACGAGCAGAGGTGCAATTCCAGAAACTAGGAGCAGGTTTAGCATAGAGAGCTCTTACCATTCACGGCAAAATTTCATAGTACTCATCTTAGCTGAATCTCTTGAGAGAATTAGGTTCCAAAACTGAATCACAGTCTCAGAGAAATCTGGCGGGCTCGTTTTGGTTAATACGAGGAAAATAATGCGATCGTCGTTCTAATAACAGAGTCGTGATCTTCTGACGTAATTTCACGGGTTTTCTTGGGCTTTTGTAAAGCTTATTGGGCTTGACTCCATAATGACATTTCCGTTTAATAGAAGTTTTTTTTTTTTTTTTTTCCGGCGTTTAATAGAAGTTTTATTTGACCACTATATGAAACAAAAAAAAACATGTAATAAACTGTATTATAAGATTAAACAGTATATATTGAGTGAAATATCATCCATATACAATAATCTCATATTGCAAGGAAAAAAAAAATGGGATCTCTAGTAGAACTTATGGCTTTCTTAGTCATGACTATTTGTATTAATGTAACAATATCTCGAGCCCAAAATGATATCATCAGTCCATCATCCGGTTTCCACAACCCAAGAACAACAGTGGTGATATATAATGATCTTGGTGGTCATCTGCCATTGCGATATCATTGTAAATCAAAACAAGATGATCTTGGAGACCGGACTATGGCGGTAAATGGAACGTGGTCATTTGAATTTAGACCCAGTATTTTTGGAAGAACTTTATTTTTTTGCGGTTTTAGATGGGATAATGAGTTGCATTGGTTCGATATCTACACACAGAAGAGAGACAAAGAATTCACCAAGTTTGGATGTAGAAGATGCGAATGGAAGATACACAAAGATGGACCTTGCAAACTTAACAAAAACACTAAAATGTTTGATGTTTGTCTTCCTTGGAATTCTCAATTGTCTGAAAACAATTAACATGTCTATGTCTAGTTGTCTACTTCTATTTGTCTAATAAAAAATTAATAAAAACCGTAACATTACGTTTATTTAACTGCCAGAGAACATTTAAACGAACTTATTTTGCTTTGCTTCGAACGCACATGATATATAGCCGTAATGAGATTTCCTTTAATATATCATTTTTATTGACTACATAAATTATATAACATATCAAAATAAATGATGAGAAATAGCTTTATATCAACCATGATAAGATTTCCTTTTATACATAAGTTTTACTTTGACTCATATTATTCAAAACATTTAAGTGCATTTACCTAAGTAACTGAGTCAACAAAAAAAAGCTTGTTAGGGAAACATAATCTTTGGTATTATAAATACAATAAAGTATTGAGTGAAAGAGTCCATATTCAATATACTTTCATATTGCAAGAAAAAACAGAAACAACATGGGTTCTCTAGCGGAACTTGTAGCTCTCATAATCATAATGTGTACAAGTGTAACAATGTCCCTCGCTCAAAACCCCATGGCTTCACCAAAGATTGAGAACCCAAATACAACAGTGGTGATCTATAACGATCTTGAAGGTTCTTGGCCAATGTCATACCATTGTGTGTCAAGAGACGTTGATTTTGGAATTCGGCGTATGCCATCAGGTGGATCGTGGTCATTTGAATTTAGACCCAGTGTTTCTGGAGATACTAAATTCATTTGCAGTTTTGCTTGGAGACTAGCGTATCGTTATTTTCGTATCTACATACAAGAAAGAGACCAAGAATCTGCAGTGTTTGGATGCAAAAGATGCGAATGGAAGATACGCGAAGATGGACCTTGCAAACTTAACAAAAAAACTGGAATGTTTGATCTTTGTCCTCCTTGGGATTCTCAATTGTCTGAAAACAATTAAAATTGCTGCTCTGTATCTACCTCTGTTTATCTAACAGTAAATTAATAAAATAAAATATTTGTTTTTTGAAGTTGACGTATAACGTTTTTTTGGTTTTTTATTCGGTGTACTTATTATAAATAAAAAATCATGCATATCGGAATAAGATGGTTGTGATGTTGATCACGTATAAGCATATTGTTGGCATGCGATACATTCGTTCGTGTAGTTGTTTCTAAACTTAAAATGTATGGTCATGTATTCTTTTATATGTCGTATAACTGGGTTGAGTATATTTTTTTCAAGCGTGAAATGGTTACTAGGCATTTCATAAACCATTTAATTGTGAAAATCTGCTTCATCACCATTCAATTTTTAAAAAAATTAATTTTCTTACAATATGAATATGGGCAACTAGTTATTAAAGTGATTTGATTTTAAGTTTGTTACAAAATGAAAAACCAAATACCCAAAAAACTAATTTAAATTTTAATATTCATAGAAGAAAAAAAAGGCTACGGGGTCTGTTGACCCAATGGGCTTTAGACTTAAACCAGGTTTGAGAAAATGAAAGAAAAGTCGTAAATGCCACGTGTACAAAAAAAACGAACAAACAAACCGGGGGCTTTGAAATCTCCGCCTCCGTTGTTGGCTATTTACACTCACTCTGTCTCCGCCGGTTGATTTCTCATCTGCTTCTTCCTCTGTTAGATCTCTCTCCCTCTCTCTCTCTGTCTCTGTCTTATACAATGCAATCAGCTATGGCGCTTTCGTTTTCCCAGACGTCGTTTACAAGACCAAACCACGTACTTGGATCAACTGGTTCCGTTTTTTCTACGCCTACAAGTCTCCGGTTCTGCGGACTCCGGCGGGAAGCGTTTGGTTTCTCTCCATCGAATCAGTTGGCTTTGAACAGTGACCGAATTCAATTTCCAAGTAGGAAATCATTCCAAGTCTCTGCTTCTGCTTCGAGTAATGGTAACGGCGCTCCGCCTAAATCTTTCGATTACGATTTGATCATCATCGGAGCTGGAGTTGGTGGCCACGGAGCTGCTTTGCACGCTGTTGAAAAGGTTTTGAAATTTCTTGTGAATTGCTTAAACATGATTTGTGAATGTTTTTTATTTCATTTTTGAAATAAGAAGATTTGCTCTGCTTATATATTTATGGAAACATTGGCGATTTTGTTTGTGTTAGGGACTTAAAACTGCCATTATAGAAGGAGATGTTGTTGGAGGGACTTGTGTTAACAGAGGATGTGTACCTTCTAAAGCTCTTCTTGCTGTTAGTGGTCGCATGCGGGAACTTCAGAACGAACATCACATGAAGTCTTTTGGTCTCCAGGTAATTATCAACTTATGTGTTCTTTATAAAGTCTGTCTTTGGTGTGAAATGGTTGTAGAAGATCAAGTTTGATGCCAATGATCTGGACTTTCACTATCTTATGTTTTTTTTGTTTTCCAGGTTTCAGCTGCTGGGTATGATCGTCAGGGTGTGGCAGACCATGCTAATAATCTGGCTACCAAAATACGAAACAATCTGACCAATTCAATGAAGGCACTTGGTGTTGACATATTGACTGGATTTGGCAGTGTTCTGGTCAGTACGTGCTTTTCTTTCACTTTGACTAACTGTAGACAGGAACATGATACATTTTTGTTGATTGGTGATCCTAAATCTTTTAAGTTTTGTATTTCTGCAGGGTCCACAAAAGGTTAAATATGGGAAGGACAATATTATCACTGCAAAAGATATAATCATTGCCACTGGATCTGTGCCGTTTGTCCCTAAAGGAATTGAAGTTGATGGTACGTTTCTTGTTTTGACCGTAGAGTTGTTTAGGGAGCAGGCAGACTTGATTATTCCTTGAATGTTTACATTTTGGTGTTGCAGGAAAGACTGTAATCACCAGTGACCATGCTTTGAAATTGGAGTCTGTCCCTGAGTGGATTGCAATTGTAGGAAGTGGATATATTGGTCTTGAGTTCAGTGATGTTTACACGGCACTTGGAAGTGAGGTAACGTGATACATGATGTTCGTCGAAATTGTTATAACTGCAACTTAGCAATGTTCTCTATTTTCTAGTCTTTGTTTGGTGCCTTAGTGTACTGAGCTTCTTGTTGTACAAATAGTAGTAACACAGGTTTTTGAATACCAATTTATTGGTTTCTGGATCTAAATTGAAAAATGAGCCATTTCCATGTTATGGTTTGTTAGGTTTGCCCTACCTTACAACAATAGTTAGTGACCGAAAGTTGGAATCTTTTTTGCAGGTAACTTTTATTGAAGCACTGGATCAGCTAATGCCTGGATTTGATCCTGAGATCAGTAAGCTAGCTCAGAGGGTTTTGATAAATCCAAGAAAGATTGACTATCATACTGGAGTCTTTGCAACCAAAGTGAGCCTGTTAAAGAATTCTTTCTAAAAAACTCTTTTCTTTCTTTATGCAGTATGTCCCATGTATTCATCTGTTAAACTTAATTTTTTCTTGTTCAGATTACTCCAGCAAAGGATGGGAAACCAGTTTTGATTGAGCTTATTGATGCCAAAACCAAGGAACCTAAGGATACCTTGGAGGTAACCAAATCTCATATTTAATACTTACTAAGTACTCTTGCCTGAATTGGGAAGATATGTGCCGTTGGTAGTGGGTCCTTAGAGGTCTCGTTTTTCACTTATTTTGCTTTTCGCTGCAGTATTAACCACATTGTTACTCTTCCCACAGAAATATAAGTATACACAATATGACATAAGTAGATTAGTAAAGCTTCTTATTTTCTGAATTATTGTGGCCTTTTCCTTCCCAAAAAGAATAGAAATAGTCACGTCTTTTGGCTGTTTCATTTCATTTTACTATGTGATTTTCTGCGCTGAAAGTGTGAATTTGTTTGCCTTCTCCAGGTAGATGCTGCTCTTATTGCTACTGGAAGAGCTCCATTCACCAATGGACTTGGCTTGGAAAATGTATGAGATGACACCAAATCCCACCTTTTAGTATTGTCATTTTGGTTACCAGAGAAGATTTAGTCGTCAGAAAATTAACCTTGAAGCTGTCATCTCAACGCAGGTCAATGTTGTGACGCAGAGAGGTTTCATACCAGTTGATGAGCGAATGCGTGTGATCGATGGAAATGGGACTCTGGTCGGTTTTATTTGCATATACATACCTTTTTCTTATCAGCAATTCTTTCTATATGCTAAATTTTATTTTACTTGATAGGTTCCGAACTTGTACTGCATTGGTGATGCCAATGGTAAATTGATGCTTGCACATGCAGCCAGTGCCCAAGGAATTTCTGGTAAATTGCTTATCAATAGGCTACTAATAATGCTGTATATATTTTCCATTTTTTCAAGGGCCTTGTATTAAACTCTTGCTCTTACTCTGTGGCTAGTGGTCGAGCAAGTCACCGGTAGAGATCATGTGCTTAATCATCTTAGCATACCAGCTGCTTGCTTCACTCATCCTGAAATCAGCATGGTGGGATTGACAGAGGTAATTCTAGATCCTAGTGCACTTAGTGCTTTTGTAGTGAAGAGGGCCAAAAAGAAAAATGTTATGAGCAATATGATTTTAGTAATCCCTCATGTTTTGACATAATTTCCGCAATTGTCAGCCTCAAGCGAAAGAAAAAGGCGAGAAGGAAGGATTTAAAGTTAGTGTTGTCAAGACAAGTTTCAAGGCTAACACAAAGGCCCTAGCTGAAAATGAAGGAGAAGGAATAGCAAAGGTGGGAGAAGCAAAGTTGTTGATTATTTATGGTTCATGAAAGAACAAAGAAATCTCATTGCTTTCATTATGCAGATGATATACCGACCTGACAACGGTGAAATCCTAGGAGTTCATATATTTGGACTGCATGCAGCTGACCTTATCCATGAAGCTTCTAATGCGATTGCTCTAGGAACACGCATTCAGGTAGGATTTGTGATACTCTAGCAGTCTAGCTGCTTATTTCCCTGGTTACTATTGGATTTAGCTCCTAGCCTTTATTGATATTTGATAATATCCTACAGGGAAATCGAGTCATAGACAAAGTACCATAGGTGTTGAAACTACTAAACGCATTATTTGTATCTATTTCTTGATCCCCTGCATGGTTTACTGGTATCTCTGCAGGACATAAAATTGGCAGTTCATGCACATCCAACACTGTCTGAGGTTCTCGACGAACTGTTCAAAGCAGCCAAGGTAAAGCAAAACAGTCTACAAGCTTTTTACAAAACTCACACACACACACTCATGCCGTTGATCAGAGAGACCCCCGTTGATCAGAGAGACCCTTTATTGTTAACTACAATCAATAGATTTAAATCCTCTACTAAAAAGCAAAAGAATCGTTACACTTTAAGTTCAATTTTTCAGGTTGAAAGTCATGCTACGACAAGGACAGTAAGTGAAAAAGTGGTTGTATGATAAGAAACCAAAAACTTATTGAAGGGGAGTAACATCTTGAAGAAAGAAAATTTGTGCTTGTACTTTAGGGAGATGCAAAGATAAAGCTAAACACGAACCAGGAAGATCAGAGAGGAGGAGATGATGGGAAGCAACCTTCAGTAAGTGAAGACTTGAAAGATATATCTACAAAGCCTTCTTCTTTCTTTGAGAATATTTACGTTGGAGTCTTGTCTCTGCTTTCACGTATATTTGTTTAATTGGTCCATGGTTTCGATTAGTGGAGATTGTGCTTCTGATTATTGTATGTTTGTTTGAAGTGAGAAAATAATAAATGGTTTTGGAAGATTATTCTCTTTTTAGTTTTTACTAGTAAAGTCACTGTCTGGGTCTGGCCTAGTTTAGACTACGAATGTTCATCAGATTCAGACGTGTCACGTGAGGTGGCAGATGAACCTAGTTTAGACTACGAATGTTCATAAGATTTTTCTCTAGTTGCTTGCAATTTTATTCTACAAATATACAAGTCTAGATTACACCAAAGTCACAGAGGAGCACAATTATAGAAATAGACAAATGACTATATCTATTTGTTAATTCTGTCTCTCTTTTTTCATACAACCAGCTGCAGAAAGGTCGAG